AAACAGAGGGCATATCCTTTTCACTTGCAAAATACTCTCACACAAAATGAATTACCTTCCCACCATCTTGGTTACTTGCCAGGGAGTACTTTATTTTTCCACTAGGAAAAAGAAAATCAGCTTGTATTTTGCTTGCTAGAGCCTTCTGCATTTTAATTCTGAACTCTGAATGAACATCAGAGAGGCCTTATGATGTTTTGCACAAAAGTGCCTGTGTTCATAGTTTTACTCAGGGCACCCAAAATAGCATGCAGTAAGCAGTGTCATACTGTGAGTTTTCAAAACTAAAAGCAGAAGTGACTTATACTGGCGGGAAGCTGTAACTCCTAAAGCTTTTCAAGGATCTGTGAAGTAAAAGAGAACTACTTACTTCCCTGCATCAGATGTTTAATTCAACTTTTACAATACCCATTTCTCTAAACCTAGAAGGCCCTGAGGTTACACAGGTAAGATCTCTTTTTTTTTCTTGATTTTCTTCAAAAATCAAATTTAAAACATTAACGCACGTGTCTCCAGTGCAAAATTGGTAACAGGCAAAGACAAACCCAGAAACCACTCAAAACCTCTACAAGCAAAAATCTGTTTTTGTTGTTTCCTCTGAGTCCACCAACTAACATCTATAGCTGTGGAAATCCAACTTTCTAAAATGGATTCACCAGAGCAAATACTTACTAAGCCTGTTTTGTGTTCAACTTGCACATTAAAATTTTCATGCTGATTATCAATCTGTTTTTGCAAGACCCCCACTGCTGACAGACTGCTTGTGATTGCTTCATGTAGACTTATGCAAGTGACTGTCACTAAAACATGCTTAAAATTTCTGAGAGTGGTATCAAGAAGAGTGAAATGTCTCTTGTTTTACTGGAACAGTTAGAAATACTCCTGGGCTTGCTACTCTCCATTCTACTTTAACAGTAATAATCTCTTGTTTTTGATTTTGTCTTAACTTTACATGCACATTTCTGTTCCCATTTCTCTTTATAATCCCACACCTAGCAACTGCAAAGTCTTTCAGACCACAAAAAAGGAATGCCTCTACTTTTGTTGGATGTCAAGTGTAAAATAGCAATTTGTTAATATATAAAATATTAAAAGAGCAGTGCAGAATATATACTATTAAAATATTTGTATTGTATATTTCTTTTGTAAGCCTTCTATTAAGAGGTATAACTACAATTTATTTTTCATGTTCAAACTGTCCAATTAGACAGTAGTCAAGAAACAGCTAGTAGATACAACCAAGAGATACTTAATAGCTGTTGATTGGTTATTAAAATGCTGAATGTCTGTCAGCTTGTTCATTTCTACCAATTACTCTGGTATGAAACTGGTAGGAATTACATGGCTTTTGGATTATATTATTATTTTTTAATAATTGTAATTTAGAATCAGCTGTGGTTGCATATGCGCTCTAGATAAGCTGTTATTCATTTATACCAGGATAAATTTGCACTAAGGTGTAAAAATTGATCTGTGGACTCAATTTTAGGAGTTATAATGATACATTTCAATGTTCAGCATTTTTCTGTTTTAAGTGTTGAACCACTTACATAAAATGAATGTAGAAAAATACATTATTGTAAGAGCTAGCAGACAGTGAAAATCCATTCTTGGAATTATTTTTAGGTAAAGGATGGAGGATGAAAGAGGGACTTGTCCATGAAATACTCTAAGAAAAGTAGCTTAAAATTGATGAACAGAATTACAAATATATTATGGAAAGCCGTGCATCTTTAGAACCAAATGTAACTATTTTAACTTAATGTTAGGTAATTTATGAAATTAATGCACATTTTACATTCAGAACTACTAAAATGTAGAATATTTTAAAAATGAACACAATATGTTGCATCTCCTTTTCAGAATGCTTTACAGTTACCAAACTGAAGTAAGTATCAGACAGTATCAGCACATTTTGATATTGAAATAAGAAAGCAATATGTGATATGCTATACAGGCAAATTTTAATGATGTCCGTGGTTTAATCTACCTCTTGCTTTTCATCATTGCTATTTGTTTTATTTGATTTGATACTTTATAACTCTTTGGGATGAAATTTCCATTGTGTGGTCTTTGCAACACGTTCACTATAAATATACTTGGAAACTTCTTGTTTAGCTTAATCAGAAAGATTTGGCTATTTCTTAAATCAGTTTAACTTAAAACAGGTAATTTTGCCAACAGATGTAACAATACAATAGATAAAACTGAATTAAAGTATTAGTTCTTTTGTAGGTGAAAATCAATATTCTCGTTTTACTTTGCAAATCACAGAAAGTCTCGATTTCTACCACAGGCAGTAGAAATAGTTTCCACCATGGTCCCTTAATTTTTTTCCTGTTTCAACTATGTTCTCGAGCCCTCTTGAGTCTACATGAAACTAAAGGACGAAAGGTGTTACAGAATGTCTTCCTTATCCATCCCTTCAATCTTCTTAATCCAGCAAAATACTTGTTTTTGAAGATGAATTAATCGAGAGGACAGACTGTGTATGGTAGCCTCAGATATCCTGAGTATCGTGAGAGGTTTCATTCCAGACCCTGCTAAGTAGACAAGGTGCATATCAATTACAGAGGAAGTTGATAAGGATGGAGCAATGTCAACAAGACCATATGGACAGATCTAGGAACGTGACTGTGCTTTGGATACACAGATCCAGGTCTCCTCTCCACAGCTGCATTGCCTGTGGTGTGAAAGGAATTGCAATTGATGCTGCTAACAAGCAGCAACTGCTAACAATGTTTGCAAAAGGACATTGCTCCCAGGCTTTTTATCAGGGACACAAATATAGTGAAAATCTTGTAAATGGAACGTGATATTAAATTAGAATCCCTCATTCTCAGGCCACTGGCCTAACTGTTAAATCAAACTCTTTTGAGACAACAAAATTAGAAACATTCAAATTGACAACATAAAGGGTATTTAATTGAGAAAAAAAAAAAAAAAAAAAAAAAAAAAAGGAAGAAGTAAAACCTCAGTAAAAGACTTTGTGTCTGCCAATATAGTACCGGAACTAAAAAAATAATAATACCTGAAATAAGATTACTAAGTGTATCTTAAGGGAGAGCTCTAATGTTTATATATTCTGATGCAATGGTAAATTTGTTGATGACAAACTCTTTTTCCATTGGCACTATTTTTTTTTGTCAACTTATACATGACAGTTGTTGCAACCTTAAAATTGCAAACTAAACATTAGAGAAAGTGTAAGCTGTCACTAAACATTTACTTGGCTTACTTTTTACATAGATTTATGACACATTGTAAGCCAAAACACATTTTAGGAGAGTAAATTTTAAGATATAAATAACAAAAGTGTAACCGAATTCAGTGTGATTGACAACTATATTTATGTATTTATTCTGATTCAAATCTAGCCAGGATAAAATCTCTCTGCAAAATAAACTCATTTTCAGTGTTTTACAGATCTTTAAGACGGTCAATGGTAAATAACATAGGTAAATAAAATAGAAGTTTACTGTTCTTGAAGTTTTATTTTGCTTGGCAATTTTCTGTCTAGGACTGTTTTTATAATTATATTAAGCAATATTATATACTTTTATTATATTAACAAATATTTAAAATGCCTTGCCCTCATTCTCATGCAGCATAAAGAAGGTTTGTGGCTCTTTATTGTTAGCATTCTGATAGTGTATCTAAACTGTTGGATTCTTTTTAAATACTAAGATTACAAAAAGTAAAAGGGATTTAAAGAGACAGTGATTGGTAAATGGTAAAGACATTATGGTTACACACTCCTTTCCCTGTAGAAAACCTTTTCAGAATGTTGAATAAGATACGTAGAATATGTGGGGAACAATTTACTTGACAACATGGTAAATTTTTCCCTCCTGTGATTCATAAGTTTAAGTGGGATAATGCCATCTGTCAATACTGGTCAGAAAAAAACAGCATCAAAAGACTTTGCAAAGATAACTGCGTTTATTGTCTCTTAAACAATTTGAAATTGTTAAATGAGATATCCAAAACAGAATTAATCAGGAGATGGAACAAGGAGCTATGTCTTATATTGCTTTGTGGACAGATTGTGGTTTGCTGGATGTGGTCACAAGTGAAGAGCTCACTTCCTAGGAGTTTTACCCCTAGTGACTAAACATGAAAGTCAAAAATGAAAATATGTGAATTTTTGTTAAATCATTAATCTGTGATGTCGGGATGATTGGATGCACTCTGAAAATTTCAAGAAATCTGCCAGCAAAATTCATAAAGTTGAGAAAATCATAATACAGCATCATGTAAGAATTTATATAATCCAAAATACTCCAAATATTCTCTGCATATTTTTGAAATTTACTGAAAATGGTCATACAAATGCATATGCCCATATACAAAACCGTGCTCTGTGTTACATATTGGCATGGGGAGTTTGAATATGCAAACTGCTACAGAAGCTACCTACCACCCTGACACATTTGCACATATTTTTGAGAAGAGGGACACACACTAGGTAGAGGCTTTAATTTTGGTTGCCTTTTGACATATCCAAGACATTTGACGTGATGTGAAACAGATTTTTTTCTCTAAACATTTCAAATTCCTTCTCTTTCACCCTTCAGATAAAGAGCACAAAAAGAGACCATTGTCCAAGGGTCCATGCACCACGATAATGGGTCACGTTCATGACTCTCTTCCCAGGCACCCCAGCTTCCTGTGGAGCCTGCAGAAATCTTGAGGGAAAGAATGAAGGGAGAGGAGGACATGTGACAATACAGTGAAAACTATAAAGTCTCCATTTTTGCTAACAAATTGGAAAACAGTGCTAGTTTCAATTACTGCCCGGTTCATCTTCAAACAGCTGATCTCTCACTCTGTCATTCTCCATGAGATGCAGAGAGTCATTGGAGAAGATTAAGGGCATTGCTGTTGCTCTTCTTTTTGTATCACTGTGATATATATTGGCTGAACCAAAATTTACCCTTAACGGTAATTCCCAATGCTAGATGAGCTAGAATGATTTATGTTACTTTATATTCCATGAGGTACCCCTGGAAAATAAAAAGATGTTTCCAGACAATTAAGATGACAACCAGACTTACAGAACGAAAATGTGGTAAGTGTATTGGTTTTCCCCTAACATCAAATTTAACATATAAATTGAATTGGTTTCAAATGCCAGATCATTAGATAGCTGGAGTATACTGCTATTTTCATAAAAGACTGACCCATGAAATGTATAAATAGCATTTGGAAATGTCACATAGAGATAAACTGTGCTGATTGCTCAGCTTTTCATATGCGCACTTTCAGGAGTGGGTAAATGTTACAAAATTAGACCCATTTTCTGGTGCCTTACATGTAATATTCTACTCAATTCTTTATCTCAGCTATTTTTTTTAAGTGATCATGTTATGAAAAGATTTTTTCCCACTTAGATATTACAGGAAAACAGAGCCTAGACTCAGACTGTTGCAATTTAAGACCAATTTGGCAGTTTGGAGACAAAATGTGCTCAGTTACGTGAACATTTTAATCACAGCTATATGAAACTTTTACAAGTGACACAACTCCCCTGACCTATGAGTGGGGAGATGGTACCCCCCCAGGAGGAAGATCAGGCAGGTCAACACAGCAGTCCCCACCGTCTGGTGCATGGTCTGGGATGGGGGGACATGAGGGTCCCTGGGATACCTCTGGTTCCCTTGTAGAATCCTCCCACATGTACTCAAATAGTTTCACCCTTCACATACCCCTGGGGTCCCTCCTCCATGTACCTTCAGCATCTCCCCCTGAGTGACCCTGACCCCAGCTCCATCAATTATTGGTTCCACAGAGAGTATCTGACTGGGATCCCCTGTTTGAATCCCCTCAGCACCCTGCACCAGCCTGTGGATGTGGCTGTGGCTGTGATCGGGCCCCTCTGGGCTTCTCTCCTCCTCTGGAGGCTCCTGCAGCCACAGGGAAGCTGATTTCACCTGAGGTTCTTTGCTGTTCTGGTGACATGCTTGCTCCACTGTGCAGTGGGGTTCACATCCAAGCACTACCAGGCCCAGCCACGCACATACAGACAGGCAGCAAATTTCTCAAGAGATCCATCAGTAGGAACAGCTAACACAGAGGTAACACTGCAAGCTGTGTGCAATGGGAGCCTGAGTCTCCCTCAGGGAATAACCCAAGGCCAGATCCTGAAGCATCCTCCCTTGATGGGCAGAGCCAGTTAGTTCCACCACCACCATCTAAATGGCCCAGACAAGTAACTGCCTCTCTTAGCAACCCAGTATTAACAGAACCAAACAAAAAGTTCCTGTTACACTGAGTTTGTAAAACCAAACCTAAGAATTAAGTTACATTAAAAAAAAAAAAAAGTTTTTCTCACTACATAATATTGCTTATGTCCTATAAATGAAACTATTATCTCGGAAGAAAAGAAAATTTAAAGCAAGAACTTACGTCCAAATATAGTGTCTGCGAGCATGGGTTTGTTGCATGTATGAAGCATTCAAAAAAACTCTGAAATATAAATTTATTATCACATTTTCCAGTTATACAAACTGGAAATGTAAACTATTCAAAGTTGTGAAGAACTGGTAAGTTGTCATAAATAATGGATTTTTGGTTTTCTGTCCATTGGGTTTTTTGCTGTGTGGCTTGCATTTTCTTTTTTTATCTTTTTTTTTTTTAATTATTTTTTTTCCTGATAGAAAGCCTGTCCAGAATACTAGCTAATTTCCAAGTGGAGAAATACTGCTTAAATCTGAGCTACTATAATCTGATTCAGTCCATTTTGTCTCAAATGAAAACAAGGCATCACAGCAACTAATATTCCATCATAAAAATAATAGACTGTATTCTTGAGTATAGCTAATCATAAATGTCAAAGAGAGTAAAAAGTATACTATTTCATTAGGATAGCTGAAGATAAACTCTGTTGGAACAATTTCAGTGGCCTTTTACAGATAGTAACTTCTAGGAATTTGTAACTGTGGTGTGTAGGCTTCTTTTTTTAAAGTCTGGGTATGTTGGAGCAATGCTCACTATACCTAAACCTGGGAAGTGAGCCAGTGTAGCAGAACCTATTGGAGAATTAATTGATGTCAGTAAAACACTCATATTCACCTGTAATGTATGAAAATTGTGAGTTTTAATATTTACGTGACAAAATCACAGGAAATTATAAAGTGAGGAAATAAAGAAAACTTAGTTTTGCTTTAATGTTTTTTTCACATCGAAAAGAAACATTCCTTTCTATACTATGATATGGTATTTATGATTTATATATGATAGTGTGATACCATAGTAGTATGACATTATGACCATATTAATCACAAATCATAGTAATCATATGGAGGAAAAGCATCCTGGTAATCAGCTGTGTTAAGCAGGGATTGAAAATATGTGAGAAAAAGTTTCCTGAAGATTTTTTTTTTTTTCAATATCCTGGAAAACATGAAGAAATATTTACTCCTTTGGATAATATTATTTCTCTTATCCTATCTAGAGACAAATGATTTCTGAAAGGTGCTTACATTATAATTCAAAGTAACTTGTATCAAGAAGATAAATAATGGTTTTTATAAGAATTTCAAATATTATTTTAAACTCATTGATCTATGAAACATCTTTGTTCAAATCTAATTTCCTTTACTGGAATCATCTATCTCTACCTAAAATGAAAAACATATCTGACAGAGGAAATATGAGCTATACTCCTAAATGTAAATTAATACTAACATATTTAACAAGATGTACTTTGATCTTCACTAATATTAATATGAACTCAGCAGTGAAAGAACTTGCTCAAAAATGGAGTATTTCTGTGGAGATGGAAATAAGATTAAGAATGCAGTTCATCTGACCTGTTTGTAGATGTCTCTTAGGTAATTTATTAGCTTAGACTGATTGCCAAGATCCTTTCTAGACAAAAAGAGGGTGATTTAGACTTCATATGTTAGTTACCTTTCTTACAATGCTGTAAAACATAGATGCCTTTCTCTTTCCATTGACTATTGAAGAAGCCCGCATAGCCATGTTGCACTAGGTCTTTAACTTTGAGGTGGTTAAATTAATAAATGCAGTCTTAAGAAAAAGTGGGAGCCTCAGGCTTTGTATTATTGAAATAAAAAATGCTATCTATGCCATAAAGAATAATAATTCACGGGCATGGAAAGAAATTAGATAAACTCTTAGGTTATTAGCAGGCCTATAGTATCTATAACTTCACAATAAACACTGTAATATCTCATCTTGTAGCCACAATTTTTGAAGTAAAAAGGAACTTTATTCCATATAATGTTCAGTTCTTCCAGTAATAAAATTAATTTTTCTACCTCATTTAGCAGTTGTATTTAGCAGGCAATGATTCTAGGAGTAGAATTAATCCACACAAATATTAATAATAAAGGTAATGTAATAAAATAGTAAATAAGTAACAAGTAAAGCTAAAAGGAAAACTAAACATTTTGGACATTGTAACTTTGGTCAAGGCTCTGATATATTTTGTCAAAGTGACAGTGGGTACCTATGGAGAAGAACTGGATGTTTTTTACTCAGCAGAAACTGTGAATAAGTTTGATTTAACTGAGGCAGAGAGGCTGCAAATTGATTTCTTGATTCATTTAGGACACAGCCAGAGGTAGCATGTAGAAAACCCTGGAGGGAAGAGGACAGCATTATTGTTTCCTTCCTTAATAGGTGTAAAAGGTTGGAACTCTGTCAAGTGGTGGCAAGTTCATCTGTGTAAAAGACAATGTAAGGTATTTGCCGGTCAGACACATCGATCGCTTGATTTAAGGGAGAACCATAGGTGACAGCCTCAGCAGCAGCTGATGGCTTGCTGCTTCCTGCAGCTGAGGAAAGGAGATAACAGGGGGATGCTGAGCCAGCCTGGCCTTGCTGCCAGTCACACCACCAAGCTCAGGCATGCAGCCTGCAGCTGCACAACTAGCAAATCACGAAAGCTTTATTAGTCACAGCCCACTCAGTCTTGCCCCATATTGCTTCATGAAGTTAAAAGTTAGGTAAAAATTAGTTCAAAATTAGTTCAAGATCAGTTCAAAATCAGTCCAAAAAATAAAATTTAAAGTTATATATTCTCACATCTCTCTCTCAAGAGAGGAAATTTATTTAAAGAAAACAAAAAACCCGTTTCAAGTTTTGAAAAAATAAAATGCTAAAATGTATGGTTTTCACATGTAGAACCCACCATTGTTACTTTTAAACACCAACATATTTATAAACAATGGTTATAAAATACCATGGAAACATTTTTTTTGTTTAAAAAAAATGTTTAATTCAAGTATCTTGCACTGAAGTCACAATGACTTAAAGATTTTGAGAGGGCATATGTCAATAGTAATTACTTCTCCATTAGGTAGCTAGCTATAGATATATATTGGTAAGTTTGCATGAAGGTCTGTGTGTTTACTTCTATTTATAATTTATTTAAAAAATAAACTACATATATAAAAAAGAAAATTTGATAGCATGTTAATTGAATCACATGTAAGCTGCTTAATCTGCAAACATAAATTGGTTTTTCATCATTGTTATAGCAATACTCCACCAGTGATACTACTAGTGTGTTAAAAAAAGCATCCTCTTTAGTGTTAGAAAAAATTTTACATTTTGAACTTCTGAAACACTTCTAAAAATGCAGTAACTGTGTATATATATATATATATATTTAGTTTATGTTTTGCTTTCCAGTATTCATAATGCCCTCTAACCTTCCCATTTCTAAATCTGTGACAAAGAAAACAAAAATAATTATACTGTCTTTCTCTTGTAACCTTCTTGCAAGTTACAATTATATCAGGGGAATCTTTTACCACATTTTGAGATTAATTTTCTATTTGATAATAATCTTAAGCAAAACCTATAGAATTCAATTTACTTCATTAAACTCAACCCAGTCAAGGACTTCTTTCTATATGAATGAGAAAGCCAGGAAGAATGATAGTTATCAGATGGGTAAAGTGATTAAGCTCCAAGTACTTTCTATTTTGCATTGGTTCTTGTATTGAGCCAATCTTTCTGATATTTATATATCAGTTAGAAAATTGTGCTAAAATCTTATCAAAAGGCATTATCTTGAAATATTATTTTTCTTTTGGTTCTTTTCATCCCTCTGTTTCCTACACAGAAAACCCCATTGTTTTGAGGCTATTTTCTAAGCACTCTAAAGAGGAATGAGCATTTGGATTTATATGTAGTGAGGTTGGAAGTAGTTCTTAGATATTGTATTAAGATGCTCAACAGACTGAACACTATACAAGAAAAGCCCTGTGACATGAAGAGATTAACCTTAGCCTTGAAAAGAAACAGCACCATCTTTCATTCTCCTACCTTATCAGGTATTTTCTCCCTTCAAACATTCTCCTTTATTGTACAAGTAGTAAATAACCTGGCAATTTTTATTTTTTTTTTTTTTTTTTTTTTTTTTTTTTTTTTTTTTTTTTTTACTTGGTTCAATTCATAGCATACAATTTCTCTGTTCAAACAATAAACAGGAGGAGCTGACCAGGGGCATCAAAAGTGGCTGGTGTCAGAAGAGAGGGAAAAGGCAGCCTAAAGTCATGCTGCTGCTGAAAAAACTTATGTTAAACTATAAGTTATAAGCTATAAACTATGTTTTAAGAGGGTTGCAGAAGAGCAAGGTAATCCTCTGAGGAGGTACAAAGGGGACTTCTTACAGTTCATTTACCATTTAGCACAAAAAGAACTGAATTTTTAATACAGAGCAATGTTCTACTGAGAGCCGGTGGAGGAAGTGCTCGTCAAGGTGAGGTGCTTTCACTGAAGATGAATTATGTGGCCTGTATACTGAATCAGTTGCTGTTTCCACAAAGATGGTGTTGTAAATCCAAATAGACTGAATTGTAAGAATCCTGATAATAGATCATATTTTGCTTTAAGGTTGCCCTTTCACAAACCTGCTTAGTCTCTATCTGATCCTAACTGCAAATAGTTCACCTTCCAGTTTGATATCAATGTTTGAAAAAAAAACAAACTAGTGTGATCCACAGACAATAATGCCCTCTTTTCCTCTTTATATGAACCAACTGGATTTGTATGATGTATTTATCTTCTTTTTTCCTTCTGATTCTCTTTAACAGAGAAAGATATTCCTCTGAAGCATTTCAGAGAATTTGATCAGCTTGGAATTTTTCAACTTTGAAACAGCTCAGACTTCAACCATTTCCTCAAGGTAAAATATTTTTTTCAAACATTAGATTTATTGGTTACTTTACAGAATAGAGTTTATTTACATGTTCTATTAAGGAAGCTTGAAACCCTTGTATTTATTTCTTAGGAAAATTATACTGTCTATCCAGTAGGGATTTTTTTATTTCTGTGCCATGCTTAAGATTACATAGCACCATGCCAATACCCTGTACCTTTTTCAACTTCTTTGTTACTGCATAGCTGTAAGGGTGAAATAGTACAATAACATAACCAGTATTAGCGACGGACATTTTAGGTAGTATTTCAGTTAAGGGCAAGTAGGTCACAAAAGTAATTTGAAGGAAAATGAGAGTGAAAATGTACAGAATTTACTTTTCTGGATGACAATTTCTGGTAATAACAGCAAGAACTCAGGACTAAAATATTTTTAGTGCTCTTTTGTACATCCTTTTCTATAGAAAAACTGTGAGACCAGGGAGTAATCCCAGTTTATCTCTACATGAATTTTCAGTCAGTTGTCTAAATACTTTAATTTTAGGGATTTTTTTAAACAAAGAATGAGTAAAATTATGATGGACTACTAAATGAAGTTTCAACCCAAGGTAATTGAGAACATCTGTGTATTTTGCAAATACCCTTCATGGGAAAATACCCTCTCATTCATTACACTGTCATATGATGTCCTTTGTGAAAGCAGTTAAATATATTTCTGAGATTTAGGTACTGATTTTCAGAGTGGCCTTTTAATTCCAAGCTTCCAAAGGACAGACATTTTCTTTAAAATTAGCACTTACTGTTGTAACAAAGCTCATATGCTCTGTAACAGGCTTTGAAGGAAAAAAAAAAAAAAAAACAAAAACAAAAACAAACTTAACCAGAAAACCTACATAAAAGCTAGTTTTATATCATCAGTCCAGAATTACAGGATATCTTCTAATAAAAAGCATTTTCCATAAGAGACCTCTAAAAAGTCAAAATGTCCTGAACAGTAGTGGAGGTTAGAGAAGGGAAATGAGAGGAAACCTATCATTAAGACAGCTAGCTACCTATATTATCTCACAGCTCATGAGAGATTCCTGGACAAAACAAAACTTACCTGACATCACAAAAAAACCCCAATCCTTCTATCACTGTATAGGACAACAAAGGAATTTAAGATAGTGGTGTATCTGTCTGTTCCCTGTTTTCTTTCACTTTTGTTAGCAGTCTTCTTTTTATTTCTCTGAATAGTTTTCCACATCCTGTTGCCTCTCATGACATTTATCCACTATTTACAAGTCCTGGGCAAGAATTTATAAAAGGTCCCAAACCACTTAGAATGATACAAGATAGCTTGCATGACACAAAATGTAAATCTAGTGATAGTCTGATAGCATGATGAGCAGTGGAATTCCACCCAGGGACAAATATAGGTGTCAGTCTGCTCTTTGAATTAAATGTGCAGGGGAAAGTTGCGGGTTCCATATGCTGCTAATAGCTGGCACTAGAATTAAAATGCAAGAAAAGAATGAAATAAAGCAATAAAGCTATAGCGGCAATTCCCATCTGGTTTGTTCTTTTCACACTTGCAAGATTAAAATTAATAACTGATATAGTCAGGAATCTCATGAAAAAGAGCTACAGAATTCATTATTCTAGGGAATCAAATTATATAGAATTGGTTCTCTAAAACATTGAAGTTATAGGTAGATTCAATGATTAAATTGTCCCTATCCATTCACTAGTGCAAAGTTCCCAAAGAATGTTTATGATATTTTTAATATTTACTAATGCTATTTAGGAAAGTTGCAGTGCAGCAGGGCTGGTTTACAATTTTAATCTGCCCAATGACTACATGTTGTATAAAGCAGAAGGTGTGGGGAAGGAGGGCAAAATTAAACAGACAGAAAAAGAAAACTATTATTGTTTTCAGAGGTAGTGGATGATCTCAAATCAATTCAAAGTACAAGATTTTCAGTTGATGATGAGGAAGCTGAGAAGCAGGTTATTGTCTGAACTAAGCAAATATGTAATTATTTTTATCACTTAATTTTGTCACATCCATCTTGACAGCACCCAGCATACTAATTGATTATGCCACACTCTTATTTTAATCCAAAAGAATGCAGTGCCTCTAAATAAATCATGTTGCCCATGACAAAATGATGTGATTCATAACACATTCTTCAAGAGACTTTTCCTTCAGTCTTGCTTTTCCACATCTTCCTTGTTACCTGAGCAGTGTCACTGCAAATTATATCTGAGGACTGGGAATAATAACAATTGACTCTGGTCCCATTGTTTTCACCAGATTGAAAAATTGAAAGTGTGCTGCTCTATATTACTGTTAAATTCACACAGCTTTTATGGAGGTTAAGAGCTCGGTTTGGGGAACTTTTTCAAAATAAACTAATAAATTAATAACATAACTCATAACCTCTCTTAACATGGAAAGCAGTACTGTTACCATACACTGGCTACTTTTTCCTTTTCATTCCTCTTGACCTTTTGATTGGCTTACTATCCAACATACAAGTACTTTTGAGACAGCATGGGGCAATCAAAGCCCATTTTTCACTAACTAAGGAACTGACACCTATTTATTAAATATATATATAATCCATTAATGGTGGACTTCATAGACCTAAATAATTTAAGACCGTTAGTGTCTGCAGAATATGAGTTCTGGCTTATATAAACTAGTGAATCAAGTCTTTGTCCATTCAGTTACTATGGCAACTTTATGGACTTCCCAGTTTCAGCTGGCTTGCAATGAATTAAAGTCAGAAATTCTGGCAGACTCCTGAAAGAAGGAGAATTATGTGGATGAAACTAGATTTAAAGAAAACCCATTTCAGTAATTTCTTTTGTAAGAACTTCTTTTGGAGGCAAATTTGAACAGCTTGAATTAGTGAATCATGTCATCTTTGAGAGCTCATGCATATTCATATATTTATATGCATTGAAAATATCCACTTGTCTGTGTAGGAACCAGAGAATGCTTTCAAGCCTGATGAAGGAAAGGAAATGTCTACAAAGCAGGCATGCTGATAACTATATCCAAGGCCAAGAAGTGGCTTGAAAAGTATCCGCTCATTTCAATGGACTTTGAAGTGTTACTTCTTCATTACAGATTTTCATGAGTCACTGTGAAGGAATGAACTTTGAAAGAATCACTAAAAATCTTACACAGCATTGTCACAAAAAAATATACCTATCTCCATGAAGAGGTTTCCTATCTCCTGTGATTTTCCTAAAATATTGCTTCCTAGAGGAAACCCCCCCACTCCTCTCACAAACATAGTAATTAAAGCAGTGAGGGATGGGAAATACAACCCATGCTTGTTTTTTCTGCTCTTGTCCATGAGTTGCTAGGTAAATTTAGAGAGACATATAAAACCTACCAATATAAACAGTAATAAAATTTACTGAAATGTTCATGGCAGAAATAGTCCTTGTCATATTTTGCCAGCTAAACACTGTAAGACCCTAATATTTATAGGCGAGTTTCCAAGGTCAAACATTGATTATCATATAGTTGTTTTTATTTAAGAAAATCAATACAGATAATGATATGAAATTAGTTGTAGAAAGTCAATTTTAACCATAATATACTTTCAAGTTTCATTCAGTTTGGTGTTGGTTGGTTTTGTCTTTGATTTTGTTTTTTTTAAACATTATTTTGTTAATTAATTTCTTTATTCTGAAAATTTATTCACGGAATTCTTATTTAAAAGAAACACAGAAATATTGGAGCTGTTAGCTCTTCAAGCATGCATCATCTGTGGATAAGCTTGCTATTTGCAAAGGACTCATGTTTCTTCCTTAGTCCAACTCCCAAGCCTTCTGTCTCCTCCTTTTCAACAGAGTCCTTCATGGATTTTTGAAATCTTCTCAGACTACTTCTGTCTTCTCTGAACTCTGCTCCTTTCTTGACTGCAAATCTTCTTTTGGTAGTACATGTTGTGCCACTTCACCATCAAGATCTGATAACAATAAGTTCTAGAATTTTCTTAACCCATTCTCTTACCTCCTTTTCTCTGGAGAAATTACTTTGATCATGCAATGCACGGCACCAATGTCACACCATCAACACCAGCCTTTGGTGTTTTTAATATTCTTTTGAAACAACTTGGAAAGTACTTAATACTTAACAGAGTGCTCTGTTTCTTTCTAGCAAACATGGTGTTCTTGCATTGAATTTCTGCAACTCCTATAGATTTCAGTTGAAAGGACAAAGAATTTCAAAAGTAATATTTCTGAATAGCTTCAATTGAGCTAAACTGGATATACCTATAGATTTTGGCTAAGTTTGACCTTTGAAGCTGAAGAGAAAATTGAAAAGTAAAAAGGAGCTGCCTGCTGGTTTCCACAGCCCTGCTCTATGTCAGTATTCACAGACCAGGAGGCAATTCATCCTGTGAATGTCTCCCATGGACTGAAAGTCCCCTGGCCCAACACACTTGGTGCTCCTTTCCAACGCAGGTCTGACTCCATGTCTAGCTTCTTTCTTTCCTGATCACTGTGTGAAAATCAAGTCTTGCATTTTGAACACCAGGGTCTTCTCATCTCTCACTTCTTGTCATTTACCACTCACGGTGATTCCTATCCTATTAAAATTGTCTTAGTCAGGATTTGCTTTTAGTATGAACTTGTCCTGTTTCTGCCTCTCTCCTCCATTTGCTTCTTGCCTTAAGAAGCTTCTTCGAGTGAAAGAAAAAGTAGATGATGAAGTTGAAAAAAGTTGAGTTTGATTGTGCATTTTAACACTCTAGTAATACATAAAGTACTGAGGATACCTGCTCCACTGGAGATACAAAACCTAAGGCTACAAAGTACATAAGAGCTCTTCAAATAGGCAAAATTACCCTCTGAATGGCTCACAGGGACTCTGGCTCAACAATATAATACAGCACAATTTATTTTTTATAATAGGTTTCTATGAAGTAAAATATCAAAAGAAATCTGTACTGAGAGATCTGAGAGATAACATTGAAAAGAGAAGCAACAGAGGATCACACAAATAATGAGGGGATAATGACACACAAAGATTAAAGAGAGATAAAAAACTTGGGTAACGACGCAATAAACTGTTATTGCAGATGAGTTACAGTGGTGGGGACAGAATTTATGGGTGAGCAGGTAATTTATCAATCTTAGGTGCAAACAGAAAAACAGCTTTTTAAATGAGGAATGGGAAAAAAATGGGGAGGGACCCTCAGTGTTTCAGCTTCTCAGTGAGAAAGGAGAATTCAATATAAAATAGGAAGAATCCTGTTGCTGTAAGGTAAAAGCTGGTTGGAAAATGAAAGAGATTAATGAAAATTTTAAACCAAACCAAAACAAAGCCAAACCTTAAAAAACAAGCAGAACAGAAAATATGTAGAAATAAGAAAATATTTTGTCAACATCAAGGAGGACTGGTTGTCTGGCTTTACTCTATTATGAGCATTAGTCCAGAAGATAACTAATCTTATCAACTAAAAGTAACAATTAGCTGAAATAATATCAGCCTAATTTTGGGGATTATTTTAAAATCTTTAGCCATATTGAACTGTTAATCCAATTTTACACTATTCTCAGTGAGGTTTGGTTTGTTTTGGGTTGGTTTTTTTTAGCTCTTTTCCCCTCTAAAATAAGGTAATACACTTGAAGAATGACCAGAATTTAAGGAGCTGAGATAAAAGTGTGTTAAGAAGACAGCATTTTATCAGAAGTATGTGTGGATGTTCAATCACCAAATAATACTTAGGAACTTTTCAAAAGCTATTTCCTGCATAGATATATACAAAAACCACCCAACAGCACAGTATGACCTGAACAATGACTTTTAGAAAGACAAGTTTCAGCACAAATTCTAGTGGTATTCCTGACTTTCCGATTAATGGATTTTTAGTCAAAAGGAAATTTATAATTAATAGGAATGTCCCAAGATATCTTAATTTGATTTGAGGTAAAGTCTATGCTGAATGATAATGGAAGTATAAACAGTATTTCCCCCCCTCATTTTACAGGAAGAGATATGTTGCACATACCAAGAAGCAAGATGATAAGAGAAAGTGGAATTTTATTTTATGGATAAACATGAAAGTAATGGACAAAATTTATGCTCTGAGATATCATACAAAGAAAAGTCTACTTGACTATAAAGAGTTTCAAGACCTAGGTCCTGGCTACTATGCAACTTAGATTTTTTTTTTTTTTTAACCTGAAACTATTCTCTGATGTTTTGTTAGAATGTAGAAATGTCAGAGGGGTCTAAAGCAAATCATATCCTTCAAAAATAGCTTAAAAGACAAGACTTTTTGGAGTATACAATATCAATAGCTAGTAAAGGCATTTTATTTTCAGGATTTTTTTTTTATGACTCTTATAAAGTGTGATGCCATTAAAAAAATTTAAAATATGCACAATTTGCAAATCTAATGGGGATTGTTGGACTATACCTAGAGTATTTTATTCTACACCTTGAAATAGAACAGGAAAGAAAATAAATCCTTTTTGAAAACCTTTGACATTAAACTGATGATACAACACCCTTTATTTGGCCTGGATGACCTAATGTTCTGTTCCTGTCCTGTACTGAATATCTTGGTGGCTGGAAAGTGTTTATGAAGTTTAATGGAATCAAATAAGATCAATAAGATTAATATATCTTTGGTATATGAGACAAATAAAAAAAAAAAAAAAGGATATTAGCCTTTAACATAATTGATAGAATGAGTGAAGAAAGAGGATAAGATGTGTTCCTTGTAGTAGAGCAGAACAGTGAAATATTACACAAAGAATAAGGGAGAGACAAGCCTCTGTTCATTGAGGCCTAAGCAGAACTGAAACAGGTTACTCCATTGCAACAGATATGGAAGATTCATCAGCTGAGAGCTCTAAGAGAATAAAAAGACAAGAAAGAATAATATTTTTAGCAAGTTTGTCAGTTAAGTATTTTCCATCTCTACTCTTCATTATTCTGAAAACTACAAATACTCTTCAGCTTGTTGTCTCCATCAAAAATCAGGAAAATTCTACCCTTTCCTATCTAGTATTATTGCAGTCTTCCTGAGGGAGGTGCATTCTTTCAGCATTTTTCCAACTGAATTCCACTGTGGTGGTGCAGAGTGTATGTATGCATGTACGTAGGCGACACTGTCTGTCCATGAATTTAAACTGTTTCTTTAAACTGTATTATGTATCAGAGCAAATTCTAGCTTATAATGAAAACTCATAATACTGTTAAAAGTAATTGTTTCCTGTTTTATTCACCTTAATGTGTTTCATTAATAAACAGAGCACAAAAGAAATTAAAGGAAATTTTTAAAATCTTTTTTTCTTTCTTTTTTTCTTATTTTTTTTTTCCTTATGTGAAGATATGGTTTCTTTAAGTACTTGTAAGGAATATTTTCTATTATTATTTGTTTACTTTACAAATGAGTCCTGGTAAATTTCCTCAAATATAAGCATTTGAATCTGATTTCAGTCCAGTTTCCCATTGACATAGACTGGATAATTTAATTTAAGGGTATTTCTGATTTATCTAATTTTACGTGGAAAATTGACTCTAAAGCCAAAACTACCCACTTAACAATAGTCAAAATAGAGCAAAAATCATCCATTTAACTGAAATGTTCAAGCTTCTTTTTATCCTTGGTCATTTAAAGTTTGGAGGAATTAAATCTCCTCAAAAGTGATGGGAAAGGTTAAATGGGAAATATTGCACTATTAGTTTTAGTGTATGCAAAGAATAATTATGAATGAAAGCAAAAAAAGGAACCTGAATCCTAAAGAGAGTTTTGGAGCATTTCATGAAATGCCTTCCTGAAAATCACTTGGCAAATAGATTCAAGTGTGAATCACAGAATGTGGTCCTTTCCATCATTATGCTGACAAGTGGTTCTTCAGTACTGAGTGGTATCCTGCAGAGCTGAAAATGTTCCAGTAGGATTTGCCCAGTGAATCAAACATCTTGTAATTGGATTTGCTACTTCTATACAATAAATGTAAATGCCAAAAGGAAAGAATTTCTGGTTTTACAGTGTATGTGTTAGTCTTTTTAATCAGCAAAATATTTATGCTAAATACATGGGTTTCATCATAATTTTTCTATAGTATAAACTATCTTAAAATAAATAATAGTCATAGTTAAGGAAAGCTGCAATTAAAACAAAAACATTTGCTTACTTTTAGTGTAGAGATTGTAGTGTACCACAACTACTGGCATAACTGAATCTTTTAACATCTCAGCATCTGTTTACTAAATTGATTTTTTCATCAGAATAGAATTGCTGAAGCTATAGAATGACTGCAGAAAATGAAAATAATTTTTCATCAGATTGAGTCCTAAGGTAAGCATTTCAATTTTTCTTTATCTATGAAGCATTTGGACTGAAGTAGAATGTAGCTGTATGGCAGAATAGTCTGTGAAAAAGAACTAAATATAGTCAATTTATGAGTGTTTAGACAAGAAACAAATATTCCTACTTCATTCTACTTTTCTTTTTCTTCCTTACAAGTTAGTGAAATAAGAATATCTGTGCCTCTTGTCTGTGAAACTATTCACCAAATAACTTCTATTCTTCAGTTAATAATATATGGAGAATCTATGCTTTCAAAAGAAGAGAAGATGTCACATCAACCAGGGAGAAATCCTAAAGGTCTAATTATCTCTGGGGAATCTGCTGGAGATATGTGTGTCTGTCCGTGTGACGTTCTCAGTGATAGCTCCTGGTCCCTTTGGGGGATTTCAGTGGATTCCAAAAGAAACTTTTTTTCTTTATAATTTTCTGATGTTCCAGATTTAATTTTAATATTTTATTGGTTCCAGCTAAAAAAACAGTAACACAGGCACTCACACAGAAAGTTTACAGTAGTATTGGGCTACCTTTGGCTCTACCCATACACAGTGTTTACCTTAAACAGCACTTCGAAAGGTCACCTCTGAATGAAAGCAGCCTGACAGAGTCCTGCCCACCAGAAGTTTATTCTTACACACACACTTTCTTCTATTGATGGGAATGGTGTGGGTGACTGTACCCAGAGACTTTTTAGATGGGCTTGGTCATCTTTTCCAGGCTGTTTTTAAATGAGCTCAAAAGAATTGCAATGAGAAGATTTCGGTCTCCTGCCTTGGGCATAACTGAAGTGTTTGAGGATGCACTTCCAGCTCTGTGTAATATGATTGATAACAGTGAGTGAAATAATGATTTAATGTTTCCAAAATCATGAGAATCTTTGTCCACAGAATCACAGAAGTGGCAGCAGTTACCTAAGGGAAGTCAGAAATAGGAATGCTGAACCAGACCCAGATATATCAGTCTGGTCCCAGCTACATATATCTCCAGCAAACTGCAGATCAACATCCAGTTACTCAGTTCTAAAAATACTGGTGGAACAGAGTTGAAAAAACCAAGAGACTGGCTATCTCATCTTGTATGACCACATCCATTAGGAAATAGGTATAGTACAGCCAGTTTTATATGACAAAGTTCAAATAGAAGATAATAACAACAATAGCCACCGGCTTTAATTCAGAAGACTATTTGTCCATGTTGGTTTACTCATGTCTTTTGGTGATTAATATAACTCCACTAAAGGAATGAGAACCAAAGATACTGTGATGTGAGGTTGTAAAACATAGACTATATCACCCCATCCTCTATACTATGTCCCCTGGTTTGTGGGCTGAACAGGAAAGAACTCTATGACTTGTTTTTTTCAGTTGCTGCAGGAAATCTCATTTTTCACCTTTGATGCCTTTCCCCTCATTTAAAACAAATGTCCTACCACTCTGTACAGTTCCTGTAGGTTTTTAATGGGAGAAATAAATACCACAATTTGATTCTGTAAAAGATGTTTTGAATCTTTAGTATGAACAGACTTTTGGCTACTGCTTGTCATGTTTTGAAAACTCAGGGTTTTGTCATCTGAAATGGCATCTGGGCTTTTTCTACAGTGCCACAGATATTCTAGTAAAATACTGGGGCCAGATAATATGTGTTAAGATAATCAGTAAGCAATTATAAAACAATAGGAATGACAGGATTTCTAGCCAGTCAGCTCTACATTAATTAAAATCCAGACTTAAAGGCACTAATCAACTAACAAATTCATTTCTCTAAAGCTATATTTTCCAAGTATAACTGACAGATAATTACTCTGGCAATTCTATATAACAGTTTGAAGGCCTTCCCCAATGGTACAATAGCATATTTACAAAATGAAGAAAATAATGTACCAATTAGAATTAAGTGAAATTTCTATTACATTCATAACACCTAAGTAATTGCTCTCCATGTAAGTGAAGTACTGAGTGACTGGTGGAAACATATGTAACCATACTGTGTTAATATGCACTACCAGTCAATATAATTTGGTCAAATGTCACATCACGATGTGCATTAAAGAAGACACTCCTCAGGGTTAACTAGTAACCTTTAAAATATCTAGTCATGCAACAGACTAACAAGACTATTGTTGATATAGCTCTTTTTAATTGACTGGAGACATTATTACATTTTAGATGTTAGTTCTGATAGCCACAGCATAATTAAACTGAGTATACTTGTTAGATGTAGCAGTCCAAATTTATTTAAAAAAAAAGTGTGTGAAAGACCAAAAAGTCAAAAAAGACTAAATTAAAATACTTAGATTCAATACAAATAATAGCTAAAACAAAACCAATATTAAATGCTAAACTATCCATAAAGGAAGAAATTGGGCAGATAAACATAAGCTGAGAGGCATTATAGAAAAATGTGACAAGCTACAGCAGGACTAGTATCAAATTTACCCATTCACAAAAATCAATCGCTCAATCGATCAGTCAATCACACAACATATATGTGTGGCATACAATAACTGTGATATTCAGTAAAAAATGAAGTTCAAATAGAAAAATAAGTTCTTGCAAATTTTAGTCCTTCCCACTGTTGCTTTTTATCAACTTAGTTAAACATTACTGTCACAATAGTGACTTCTGTGCCAAACTGTGATGATAGTTATCAATGGAACCAGAGGGCAAATTCAGTATAGTTGGATCTAAATCTGTCATATTTATTCCTTAGGGGTTTAGTATGCCTTTTTCTAGTGTCTCCAAATAAAATACTTAAAATAATGAAGAATGGAAAACACATAGAAAAATAAATATCTTGCCACTGATTGCAAAAGATCAAATCACAGTTAAAAATCAATGAAAATGGTAATTAAGAGTTTCTAACACACCAACTTTGTAAAAAATATTTGTCTCTGTGAAATTTATCAATCGTAAGAAGCATCGGGAATAGGATTAAGTCAGCTACTTTGGACAGTCTGGAAGATTTTATCATTGTTCTATACAGATTTTTAAAAAAAGCAAACCAAAATGAAACAAAAACAAAAACAAACAAAAAACCCCACAAAGAACACCAAAACCCACAAAGCATATGCATTAATTAAACTAGTCTATATATATGATCTATTCTTTGGGAATACTAGAAGAAATATAGCCTAGGTGTCTGTCTACCATATTGTGTGAAACATAAGCTGTTCAATGAAATTGAGTCCATATAAGGTCTTTTCTGGAAGGAAAATAGAGCAGCAGCACCATAATACACTAGGATTATCAGTGACCAGACATAAAATGCAACTAGGACAAATAACCAGTAATTATAGTACAAATGTATAGTTGAAACTCTGACAACTTCTATCCATTCAAGTTTTTTCTACCACAGTAACCTGTAGGTGTTAGTTACAAATACCCTTTCTTCTTTATCTTATTATGTGAAACTTAAAGATAGCAACATACAAGGGAGACAAATTTCACTATAATCATAATAACACTGATGTGCAAAACAGAACTTGCAGCTGAAAATACATCATGCTAGGCCTCTGCCTGAGATAAGAAATATGTGTCAGAAGCTGCATATTAATGGATTAGATTAGTTTACATGAATTTTTCCACTTTGTTGTTGTTTGCTTCATGTTATTAAAATAAGCAAAGACAACACCAAATTCCACAAAAAAAAGTGTCTTTCAGTCTGACATTTTTGGTTCTGTTTTGTACTTTCAAGCACAGGGGGATTTGTTTTTCTCAGGAGTCACTCTTTCAAAATCCTGCTGTAAAGTAGGATCAAGTTTGTATACAAGATGGTCCTAATGGTCGCTAGTTAAGGAGTAGCTACCATGTCCCTTGTTACTGTGTTCCAGTGTTTTGTTACCTCCTAAGTAAAAGGCTTTACCTATATCTAATCATGGTGGGCTTGTTACAAAATTAAGATGTTTTTACTTTATTCTTCAGCTAACAGAACTGGAACAGAATTTATCCTCACCTTCACTGTAATCCATTGTTTTGGGTTTTTTTCAATGCTTTAGAAGGCTGTTGTTTCTTTCGCACCTAGTCTTTTGTTTTTTTCCTCCAATAAATATATAACTTCTCTATATCCCAGGGGCTGCATTTTTTAAACCTCTTATTCTTCCTATTATTATACTTGCAATGCCAGGAAGTAACAGGTATTATTTTGTAATGTAGTGAGAAGGTCATAATTTAAAATAAATTACTGTTATTAAAAGAAAGGGAATTCAGAACCATCAGCAACTTAAAACTAATACTCAGTTTCAAATGGTGACAGGATGCCACTCAGTGATGGCTCTAGAATAAACCTGACAAAGGACTCTGCAACTTTGTGCCAAGGTAAATCTGTTCCTAGTCTACAGGAAACCTCTGATATAAAAGGAAGATACTGCTTTAAAAGCTGTAGTTTGCTTATTACAACTGCAATTGATATTCTCATTACTCTAAGTATCAGTCTTTATTATTGCAATCCAATACAAGTGAGAGAAAGTGGAGATGTACCTCCTGAAGAATAGAAAAGGAGCAGAACAATGGCCTCAACTTCTCTCATTCCCTTGGGAAATTATTAGTGCTAGCTCATTTGACCAACTCTGAAAATATATTTGTCCTTTTTTCAATGAGAGATTATTCTATTAAAAATTTATCTATTTGTGCATATTACTATAGCACCTAAAAGCTCTATGCTTTCACTAATCCTCCCTTCTGCTGCATATTATAACGCAGAGTACAAGGTCATTTCATTTACAAACATCTTATAAATTGAGTGTAAAACAAGAGGCAATTGATGGATAGGGAAAGACAGAAGAGTACAAGGGAATAATGAGACAATACTAGTCACTGTGATAGGGAGCAGTCTTAGCACAGAATCACCTTAAACGCTGGGAACACTTTTTTTTTCTTTAAGTAGGTAACACTGAAATTTATATATTTGAAGGAATGACTAGAAATAGAGGAGGGAATGAGAAATTAGTTTCTGGATATTCCGCAAGAGCTACTTCTGAGAGTGAGTTACATTCTATGGAACAGAAAGAAGGCCATTGTTTCATGAGCGAACAATTAGATTTATAAAGAATGGCAACATGTGCTAGCCAGAGGCTGGAGGCAGTGTCTCAATGTCAAATGAGTAGGAATATGTTGGAAGTAAATATGCTTTGAAAACTCCTGAAGGTAAAGTCTAACTGAGTATGTCTGATACAGTAGAGAAAACAGAAATACATATAGCTCTCCATTACATAGCTTTATGGGTTTTTTACAATAATTTGCCTACAATTTGTATTTTCAAGTTAAAGACTTTTTATACACATAACGGTGAGCAACATATAAAAACCTAAAAAAGTTTATTCCCTCCCAATTTCTCCCAGACATGATGCTTGAATCCATGTACTATAGACTATTAAAATAAATTTGTAAAAAGGAGACACTGAAACAGACCAAAATATTAATTATGCTCTTTAAGCCATTCACTGCTGATGTCTAGCTGATGAGTGCATCACTAAAAGGTGGACAAAAATAGACAAGCATAGCCATATTCTGTACCCTCACTATGATGATATGTATACACAGACTGTCAGATTAATTTGATGAGTTTGATAATGAGTTTGTCATTCACTCTGCATGAAATACTGCCTAACAAGCCTGAAATACTTTGTTGAACAAGGTGAGCAGTGTCAGAACAAGTAGACAGAACTCCAGCTACTGGGTAGCCAGAAGTATTTGCTATGATCCAGGCTGAACACCTGTCTCCTCATTTAAATAGTGACTGAAACAAATTTCTTTATGATTCCTTTGAAAGATCTCTCTGACTATTCAGCTTTCATTGTTTGAGTTGTCTGTCCTTTGGCACGTACTGCAATAAAATGAATGTTGATTTTCAAGATCAGTTTCTGTGCAAATTACTGCTTAGTGTTAAATACACTTGTTGTACAGAGAGATTCTCTAAGGCCTTTAGACCTTTTAAACCTCACTCAAGCTTTATTGGAGAGACAAGATGAGCTTTGTTGGCCTTGTCTTCCATGTCAAAAATATTATTCTTGCAGCTTTAGGAAAAGTTTTCCACAGAAAACTGAAACGAGAGTACATAAGTCACATTCCATTCATTCAAGTCTCATCTTATACTGTTAAAACTTTACAGATGAAAACCATAAAATATTAAGACATTGGAATGTGCACTTTAACACCTACAATGCCTTACTATCAGAATTCTTTGATCTTTTTCTCAGTAATCATACATACGTAGATTAGATTTTAACAGAATAATGTTTAATGTCATGTAAAACTGCTGTGAGAAAAGAAATAGTTGTCTATATGACCTGTCTGTTATTTTATCAACTATGGCATTTCCCTTTGCATAAGGATGGGTATTTATAACATTACTCTATAAGTCATGATCTTAAAATACATAAATACATACCTTATCCTTTACAGGTAAAAGGCTCATGGATTTTTCATGCCTAAAGTAAATGTAGCCAACTATTTTTTCCAGTGTGTTGTACAAACTGAGAGTCATGTGTTAAATTCATAAACCAGACTGCTCCTGCATAGGAAATGTTATTCTTCAAGGCTAAAGTCTTGAAAAGAATGTCTAATGTCATTGCCAAGTAAGGTTTAAAGAGCTGAAATGCATGTTGTAAGGCCTTTAAAAATATTCCTTTTTACCTCATACAAGATGGCCATTCTTAACAGGGCACTGCACTTTATGTAAAATTAAGAGCTTCATTGATTGTACCAAAAATCACTGAAAAGCCAATAATAGTATATAGTTTCTACAAAGCCTTCATTTTCCGAAAGAATACTTTGTGCCAATTAAACTAGCTGCAGAAACCTACAGCTTTCAAGATGCATTTCCCCTTTTTCTGTTTAATTGAAGACAAGATTGTCAGAGTTTGTAAAATAAGTTAGGACAATTTCTGTTGTCCAGGAAGGAGAAAGTTGCACATTTTTCTGCTTCTTGATCGTACCCTACCACCTTCATCATTTTTGCAGACATTTTGCTGAGTTGAGAAAACGAGAAAGAAGAGGTTAAAGAAATATCTGCACTGCTCTGTTTCAGCTGTCAGTCATCAAGGCCACTAAGGCTAGACATTCACCCTTCAGGCAGTTCTGTGACTGCAGCTCAAAATGAGCCCTGTCTAAGCAGAAACATACAATTATTCCAATCAAATTATTCCTAGGCTACACAATACAATTACCGAGCTTAATTTGGAAGATGAATTAATTGAAGGATGATTTTCTTTTTTTTGCATAGAAAGTCCCTGTGTAGGATATTCATAAAGGAAAGTTGAACACTTGACTTTCATGCCAGAGTCTCTAAGAGAATCTCTATTTTAATCAGAAACTGACTTTGTTTCAGCTCTTTCCTTTTAGGGAGAGAAAGAGGTTTTAACACTGCAAATCAGTGCTTATATTAGTACAGAGTCAATATGTAAAAGTGGGAAGACAAAAGTGATGCTTTACCAAAGTTTTTTCTTTTTTTCTCCTCTTCCACAGATGAAAACTGATTGAAAGGAGGGTTCATCATGAATTGCTCTGTATTACTATCACTTATGTTGATTCTGGTTCAACTTTGGCTTTGCTCTCCGCACATGCAGAACCACAGCACTCAAAACACAGATCGGACTTTCACAGCAGTTCGAAGAGTGAAACGTGGCTGGGTATGGGAACCACTATTTGCAACTGAGGAACAGACTTCGATGGTGCCTGTATATATTGGACAGGTATGATAAGTAATGATTCAAGAACGGTACAAGGTTAGATTTCATGTGCTGATTAGCAGCTTACTACCTTGACTTGGAACACCAAGTATCTCCACTGAATTGGAAATATCAAGAAAGGTAGAAATAGAAGCTCAAGGAGCTGTAATTGGGCAATGCAACATCTCTCCTTTCCTGTGACCTGACTTAGGGTCAGAGAACTCTGAGAGCTGCAGGTCATGGCAGTACCAAGGACCTTCCTTCACCTAGGTCTGCAGTCAAGGAAACTGCACATTCACTCTGTTACTAAAACTAGTTCCATACACAGCAAATAAAGGTATCAAGCTGAAAAGTTCCTTTCTGTCTTCTGAATGAAAGTTAAGGATGCATTTATCAACTTCTGGAAATTTGCTTGTGTTATTTTTGGCTCTGCATCAAAGCAGCCATATTGAATGCAGTGTAGGTTGCAAACAGTATTTAGCATGATTTTCTATTACATTAAGTAGTAGCTGATTTACCCCTCATTAATTTTTAATGAAGCAGATTAATACAAAATCCTTTTAATACTGAGAAACTACAGGAATCAGCATGGTTCATTAGATTAACGTACGTTTAACACAATGAGCAATTATTTTTCACCCTCCTTTAAAAATGTGCTTTAAGATAATTGTCTTAATGAGGCTTTATCTGTCCTTTTATTCTCTCTCTGCTTACTATTATTATTATTATTTATTATTATTATTTATTTTTGTATGCTAGAAGTAATTGTAATCTGGAGATCTAGTTTTCTTTTCTTTAAGGCACTTTCTAGATGAATGAACCAAAATAAGTTTAACTGATAATTAACTAGCACTAAAATTTAATTGGGCCCAAAGGGTGAAGTGCTCAAAATTCATTAATTACTTTTTTCATAGTCCCTTCGAAGTAACTACTGTGGAAGTGTGATGCCTCACTTCTGAAAGAACAAGTGCAGACATACTAATTTTTTAATTATTACTACTTTTCCCATGGCTGGAAAACAGTTTCCCAAAAAGAAACTTCATAAATGTCATGTATTTTCATACAGCTGTAGAAAAATGTCATAATTTTGCCTTTCTATTTTTCTTAGGTAAACTAGGGGAAATTTTATTGAAGATAATGGTTAACTTATTGCATTCAAATCATTGTCTAATCAGACATATTTACTCGTGTCTTTTTATTGAGTAGAATATGCTCTGCTTTCAGTAAATGAAGTGATAGTCTATGATCAGAGCATGAATTTTTAGTAAATAAAGCCCTGAAGGAAACTGCATCAATGAAAACACAAAGGTAGACAGTCTTTTTTTAAGTCTCTATTCCATATCAACTTCTTTTCGCAGTCAGATACAGAGCTAAATCTTCAAATTTCTTTTAACATAGACTCATGAATCCTTTTTCATTATTATTTTTAAGAAAATAAATGTGTCCACTAACACTGCAATGGCAAATACATGAGGGCAAGTACATAAATTCTTGTTTGAGGTTCTCATTTACAATGGAAAGACAATTTATTCTTTTGTGTCTAGCTTAATAAAACAGGTAAACTGAGAACCTTCGGTGCACTTTCTCAGCAAATGTCATCTGTAAGAGACTTCTCACTGAACATGATCAAGGTCATGAAAATCTTTTGGGGGTAAATGATGCTGAGTGAAGTTGTTCAACACAGGTTATGTCTAAAGAGCCATTCAGAGGCACGCTTCCAGTCTCTAAGGGTTTGATGCACTCTGTGATCATATCTGAACCCCATCTTAGGTTAAAGATCTAGATATTCATCACCTTTCCCTTGCCCTGTGGTTCATGACAAGGAAACAAGGATTTAAGGATCAGAAAGGATCTGTGTTGTCCCTTAGACAGATGCCAGATTTGGGTGGTGTTAAAATGAGTTCAACCAGATCACTCATGAAGTGGTGAACCTGCCCCCTGTTTTGTACACAACTACTTATGCTGAAAACATTTGGCTTTAAGTTGTTCATATTTTAAATGGTTCTGAACTCCCTAGCCTTTAAAATTGTCTCTCTTGTACTGGCAAGGGGAATTAACTCTATGTAATTTAGGGCTTAAATACTCTGATAAAACTGAGAGCAGGAACTCAGAACTGTTCCTCCTATCTCAGAACAGTGTCCCAGTCACATTCTGAATAAACTATCCATTTGATGCATGCAGATAATTACGCATTATGAAAATCTTCAAAAGTCATGGGAATTTTTCCAAAGAAAAGCTAAAATGATTTTTGCAACTTCAGAAGCTATTGTAAAATATTTTGAGTAATCCAACAGAGAAATGTGTCCTTTACACCCTATAGTTACTTCTTTCCCACTCTGTGTCCCACTCCTACACTGAGCTATAGGGTCAACAAACATGAAGCAAAACAGTGAGATTATTGAAGTCAGCAGGTAGGCATATTATTTGCATTTGAAACCCATTCTTTTGTGGAAGCAGGATGAATAAAACCTCCTTTTTTTTTTTTTTTTTAACTTTGGATTTTTCAATGATTATCCAGATTTGGAGATTTTGTCTCCTTTTGTTCTAAACCCAAATTAAATAAAAAAAAAATTAGAGAATTAATGATACACTAGAAATTGTTGTTCCCATTAAATTCAGCTGTGGATGCTTGACATGTGAAGAAATTAAGTTGTTGCTAATAAAAAAGTACTTTAACATGTTATTACCATTAACAGAACTATTTTGTTGGCATGAAAAAACGCATCTGGACCAAAATGGTCTCCAGGGCTCAGCTTCATCAGAGGAATCATCATCATAAAGTTCATCTTAGCAAGAAAACAGAGGATGTAGATAATCCTGGAAGGAAATGGAAAAAGTCTGTCAATTTATTTCAGTATAAATAATACAGGCTTATACCACAGAATGGCTTTTCATCTCTTTAATATTTCAGCAGAAATAGAACACCACTGTCTCTCATATTTACACTTAGTATTGCTGAGTACAAAAAATATATATATAAATTACAAACTACACTTCTCATTTGTAATTTGTAATAAAAAATTTAGCTAACTTTTAATGACCTTTGCATTGTTTTCAGGAGAAGTTTATTGGAGCTGATAAAGCAATGAGCTAAAGTAGATACTTACATTCATTCCTTTCAATTCAAATTGTCTGAAACATATTTTTTTTCAGGTTTACCATGCATTTATATATCTGTTATATCATTACTTTAAAACTTAGCCATGACTGGCTGAAAATGTGACAGTACCTTCTTTCAAATACTAGTATTCAAGAAAGCTCACTAGTAACAGGGTTCACTGTAGAATGAAAACAGAAAAAGACTAAAATGGGTATATCAAAACTTCATTCCTACCAAAATGTGGTTTATTTTTCTGCTTTATACTTGCAGCTGAAATCAGATTTAGACAAGCAGGATGGCAACCTGAAATATCTTTTGACAGGGGAGGGAGCTGGAAGCATTTTTATCATTGATGAAAATAATGGCAAAATTTACGTGACACAAAAGCTGGATCGAGAAAAGAAAGCCTTCTACACACTAAGAGCACAAGCAATCAAGAGGAGCACTCAGCTTCCTGTTGAACCTGAATCAGAATTTGTTATCAAGGTTCGAGATGTCAATGATCATGAACCACAATTCTTGGATGGACCTTATGTGGCCACTGTTCCAGAGATGTCACCTGAAGGTATGACATGTTGTGAACCACAGTCTTTATTTCCTGATTTTTTTTTCTAGATATCTATGTTAATGTAAAATCTTAATAACATATTTTATAGAGTGCTTTTCAGAGAGAAGGAAGCAAAATATTTTACAAGTTTGGAAATTTGTAAAGGTATATGCTTAAACTGAAGGCTGTGCATATCTCTACTTAACCTCCTTGCTTTTAAATATTTAGGTACCTACATGTATCCAAGTCCTTTTACAGAAACTGAATACATGCTTGGATTAACCACAGAGAGTTGTATTTTCCATCAGCAATTCAGCATTGGAATTGGTACTTGTTTGAAAATTCATTACCATTTCAAATAGGTAGGGTATTATAGCCAGTTGATACTGCAAAGGAGATTTGGGGCTGACAGATTTCACTACTTTTTCAATCTATATAGCACCCTAATCTCTAGAAAATTGTTCAGTGTATGATTATTGTTACAACCTGTCAGCCCTTCAGGCTTCTACCAGCCTGAAAGAAAAGGAGCATGCATGTAAACTTTTAAATCCTCTGACCTCAGCTGACTCTTTTAAGGACATAAATAAAGGCTTGGTTGAACTGAAAAGTACTCAACAGCATCCTTCAGTCTACTGTGATTCTGCTTAATAATTAAAGAATATGTCTTTATTATGCTCTGTGTAGTACTGGAAAAGAATCACATTCACATCACAGGCGCTCACAGTTCCGCCCCCCCCAAAGAGAGGGGCAGTTTCTTTTCTATAAGCAATGGGTTCAGAACAGGAATGGTATGAAGCTGATGTGGGCTGATGTGATGACCACCCTCACACCATATATAATGCCTACCTATTTACACTGCCAAGACTCTTTCTTATCAGTCAGTTTCTCTTTTTTTTTGGATTAGATGGTGTGCAGCAAAGGACTGCCTAGGATCTATCATGTATCTGGAAACTTCGTACAACAAATACGAAGCAAGATCAACATATGACAAATATAAGTGTATATATACGTACATGTGTATATATACATACGTGTGTACATACACATATGCATACATAATGTGTATACACATACATTTAAATCCTTAAAAAAACCCAAAGTGTGAATGCAGATGATATAACCATGTCATAGGTACTGCTATCTCCAAATAACTATCTTCAAAATCAAAGGAAAACTGGATTCTTTAAATCTTACAGAAAGAATCCCAGTGATCTTTTAAATTTGTATCCCTATATCTTTCAGTTATTTCTATTGCAAATAATATTGAAATTCACATATTGTGTTACTTAAAACTGTATGAATTAATGAGGTCATTAAAATAATAACATCAGTGATCATAAAAGGTAATAAAAATTATGTTTCATTCAGCATTACCAGTGCAACTTTTAGGGCCGATTCAGTGAATCTTTCACAGGGAACTGTAAACTTTTATCTTCTACGAGCCTGGACAGCAGTTGTAAGGAAAGGATATTCATGCCTGAGCTTTAATCAAAAGTGGGGTTACTATCCTAATTTCTACCATGAAGAAGTAGCTCACCATCACTGTCAGCAATAGCTACAAAAGACATCCATTTAATCAATTTAATTCCTAGTCACCCTGCTTATATCACCTTCTGCCAGGGAAATAACTTTTGGGTGTATGTTTCTTCAGTGCCACTTTCTTCCATGCAGACAGATTTATTTATAGCAATACTTCTGCATCTGAACTCTTGCTCAAATAACTTTTTGTACCATAATCAGTTGCTTGTTCAGCAGGTAATTCTAGTCTTTGCATCTTGCTTATTCATTCAAGTTTGGAGACAAGAAGACAAGTTATTTGTCAAGGACCTTTGCATTTTTTTTTAATGTGCTCACAGAAATAATGGGCATAGTTCATTGTCTAGAATTATCTGGGTATTTTTATCTGGGATTACACAGATTTAGGACTTTGACTTTTTTTTTTTTTTTTTTTTTCCCCCTGTGGTAAAACATTGTTTATGAGGCATTTGATCTCTTATAGAAATGGTTTTAAAATAGCTGTTAATTTAGTATGGTTTGATTTATACTCACACAGACGTGTAACTTTTCACAGAAATATATCAAGAATTGACTGACGGATTGCTTCTATTTTATCTTCCTGTCTTAATGATAAGCTCCTGTCTTAATGATGGCTATATGAGAAAAAAAAAAAAAAAAAAAAAAAAAAAAAAGAAAAAAGTTAAGTAGGACTGTACTTATGGCCAAAACAAAAGTAGTAATCTTTTCCCATATACCTCTGTTTCTCACCTGAAAACATCAACAAGAAGTTTACAGATGAGAAGTTTCAATCTGTATTGATTTGAGTTGGCTGTAAACTGATACCCTAAAAATGAAAGACTCAGCAGTCTTCATCCAATCTCCTGTGCCATCTATTGCATATTTAAATTCCTAAAACAATGTATCACTTCATCATAAGATTAATTAAACTTCAAAAAACTTAATTTATTTTGTGATATTCCTGCAATATTATTAAAAAGAAAAGATTCCACTAAAATACAGAAATATAAGAAATTAAAAAAAAAAAAATCAGAATTAACACCGCCTCCCATTTGTCAAAATGGGTGAAAAAATAAAACAGGATCCCTGTGTGACTCCTCTTTCGGACACAGACTACCTGAAATAGTAAATTTACAAATTTGCAATCATCCATGGTATGATATATGAATCAAAGTCAGTCTTATGGATCTTGAAATATTTTTTACACTGTTGTTTCTGTTTGACCTCTCTAGCAGTCATACCATAGCTATTTCAGAGATCATTCTTTCACCTACTTCTTCAGTGTAGACACTACTACACTACTGGCATACTAATGTCTATGTCTGGCATAAAGAATGTAAGTGTAGTGGTATATAACACTGTAAGGTAAGTACATACCTCAACAGTGGTCAGATCCAATGAAACAGCTGAGCCACACCATGAGGACTCCTCTGGACTCACCTTGTTTCTCAGAATAGGGACTACACATCTGAGGTGAAATCTCTTTCAGCGTGCACTCTAAAGCATTGATCTTTACAAGGAAATTTCTAACTTCCTAGTAGATAGAAACAGTAACCAACTAAAATTTGAAGCAATGATACTGTAATAGTTCATTACATCAGTGCTTTTGTCCCAGTAAAATAGAAAAACCTTTTTGCATAGTAAGGAATGTAGACCAGAATTAATTTAAATGATACAGTGCAATAGAGAGACTGAGCCTTTGCTCTGTTTCAGATCTCTCTAGCAGCACTTCAGTTCACTGATACTAGATCTGGCATCTCCTAGTAATATCCTCACAGAAAACACACTCAGGAAACTTGGTCTGTACCTGGGAAAACTGTTCACTCTTTGTGAACATTTTGTCTGGAACTAAGAAAGCAAGGAGAGAATTATTCACAGATGGCCACTTACCTCAGAGAACCACAGAAAAAGAGAAAATATGCACAGATAATTTTGCCTAAAGTTAGGTACAAATATCAATATATATATACTAATGTGCCAACATATTAGAACACATTTTACTTTTTCTTAGCTCTCTTTTATCGTCAGTACTAAATTTTATTAAGATTTTATATGCAAGTGTCACAGTAAATGAAAATCATGTCAGCAAATGGACTCTCTTCTGAGAACACAAGACTCTGGTTTTCCCTCAGGCATTTGGTACAATTTTACATTAAGTGTCTTCCATATAGCTGTTAAACTTGTACAAATGCAGTATATCTGATGGAATGGTTAAGAGTCAGATGCAATAATATATCAGTGATTAATGTTTTTATGGATTTCAAGCTCTAGTTAGGAAAACAAATAACTGTCATATGAGAGCCCTATAGTTTACTTGATGGGCTTCAATATATGTGACACTACTGTGTTTTGCCCAAGAAGAGTAAAACCAAGGCTGCAGGAATACAATGAAAAAATCTCATGCAGCAATCAACAAAATGTAGTTTGCCCTAAATAAAGGAAATAAAAAGCAAAAAATATGTAAGCATGTTTACTATCCAGCTTAATACATTACTGTGTACATAAAACACATATTTGGGGCTAAACCTTATATCAACATCACACAGACTCCCATATTCAAAACTGCATGTTTGAAAGCCCATAGACATATTCAGTTAATTTGTCTCTGTCATTATATCCATTTTCACATAAATGAGAAACTATATCATGGTTGGATTGTCAATTATATCATGTCATGACTGGACTGTCAAGAGATGGGGTTTTGTTTTTTTAATTTGTTTGTTTCAGAGGGGGGAATTATGTATTAATTGGTTGCTTTAAAATATAGTATTTGTATTTGATCAATTATTCTTCTCCCAAACATGGATTTACAAAAAATGGTGCTTTGAAGTTTCTGAGTATCTAATATTAACATTGTAATTTCTATCACTCAAATATGATGTCTAGGTAATGTTTCTATTCAGCAAATGGTTTGCTTTGTTTGCTGAAGGTTAAATGTATAAAGAAATACAGGCTTCGTGGAAGTGAAAAATTAAAAACTGAAAAAATGTTCTAAACCCAGGATAATATTTTTTCTTCTCCTTGTTATAGAGTCCATATCTAATGCAGACGTTCATATAATGATAATGAAATTTTTGTCCTGAAATAATGTGAGAAAGCATAGTCCTCTCTTTATATGGTCTCCTGCCACCCTATTTTAAAAATAATCTTCCTCCTGAGAGTACAGGAGATCTGTTACTGCTTCCCTCCTGGTCAGCTCCCTCTTTACCAGATGCCCTCTTCATGCTCACCTTTCCATTATATCCACCAGCTGCATATTCCTGAGCCTAGCCGGGCAAATTCCATGCTTCTGCCTTCTACTATGCTCTGGAAGAGTCAATAGGCAAGCAGAAAAGTAGGCTGGGGCTTGGAGAAGCAGCAAATGATGGTTTAGATTCAGCATTTCTTTCTAAAGGTTAGAAACTATGTAGAAAATAAATCTACATTTAAATGAGATGCACAGAATGATAACTGTAATGATAACTTTGCAGTCCTATATATGTTGGATTTTATTCCTGATTTATTAAATGTGATACTGTAAACAAGTCCATTTCTAAACATAGTTGTGGGTACTTGGGTATATTTAGTAGAAAATGGCATTTATAACAGACTGTACCAATTGGATTATTCATAGTTTTCAATCCCTTTCTAACTAGCACTCCATTGTTTTTACAAAGCAACTACATTCTAATCATGCTAAGTTGTCTTAGAGGATGAATTTCCTGTATTTGTTAGAACAGTTTCCATAGACCACAGATGATACCAAGTTAACAGTTGAGTAGCTGAAGATTTCCTTTACCCTTGTCTTATTAAATACTGTGATTTCTGAAGCATATATGTGCCTTGATGACATATTAATCTGTCATTTTATCTTTAACATTTCTCCAGAGCAATAGGGAACTGTATATATATATATATATATATATATATACACATCTATGTGCACACCTAATACACACCTAAATGTCAGAAGTTTTGTATTATAGGTATATTTTGAAGGACACATAACTCCAAAAGTTGGTGGCAATTAGTAACATTTTAGTGTACCTCCACTCTGAGAGAAAGTAGTATACATTATGGAATCACTTGAAGTGCTGCTGAATAAATTGAGAGACAATGCAAAAAATATTGTTTTAAATAATGTACATATTTCATTCAGCATATCCTTATATGAGAAAGCCTTCTTCATTTCTATTTAAAAATAAAGGTATTGAACTATTAGAAAACTCAGAAATTAAATTATTTTTTTTATTGGGGATAAGTATCAACTTTGAATTTGTCACAAAACTGGTGTTTCTGGTCTAACCACTTGCACACCACTGTTTTTTCTTCTTTTCTCCTCCAGCATAACCACACAGCTATATTGGTAAACAGGTACAACCATGTGAATGTATTCCAGAAAGTTTTAGAAAGTAGCCTGATTTCCCACTACTCCTCACAAGAAGTGATATTTGTATTCTTATGCAGAATCTAGGTGAGGAAAAAAGACAAAAATAACAATTACCTTATAAAATGATGATACTGTGAAAATTTACTTTTAAAGGACAATTGTCACTGATGGTTCCATGAGATTGCTGTCAATCTTTTATTTAGTATATAACCAGCTTCTAGCCAGAGATGAAATCAAGCTGTGCAGACTGATGCTGCTGTGTTTTTGCAGTGGGGACTCTGCTGTCATTCTTGCACAGGGACAGGCTCATTAAAGACTCTAGGATAAAAAATGTTATCAGAGCCTTGTTATACTTCTTGGCTGCTTTGCTTGCTAAGAATTAATTTCTTTATCACCAGTGGGCCTACCGGTGATAAAGCAGTTGTGTTTTCTTGTTCCCATAGGAAACTTCAATAAAATGGTTTGAAGAATATACAAAGGGAGGAGAAACAATTTGCTGTACTTCATTCATATATCAGAAACGACAGAAAAAAAAGCATAAGATATGTAGAATTTTAAGCAACATAAATATAGTGCTGAAAAGTCATATGCAATTTATTTTTATTTTAATTGAAAATTTGAATGAAATAAGAATAGTTAATGAGGAAATATTTTCCATTTTTAATGATAAATTTTAGAAAGCCCCATTTGCTCCTGTAAATTTTCAGGACTGTTTCCTAATATAACTGGTAAATTAAAAGTTTTTTTTTAAAGTTTATGTTTTGTAATAATGAGATAATCTATACAAGAAGAAAATAAACATAATCTATTTTATTTTTACCTTGAGGTACTTCGGTTACACAGGTAACAGCAACAGATGGTGATGACCCTTCTTATGGCAATAGTGCCCGTCTGCTTTACAGTCTCATTCAGGGACAGCCTTATTTCTCTGTGGAGCCAAAGACAGGTACTACAAATGATTTTGTAACTTGAAAACATTCATAAACTAACATAAAATAGATACAAGCAAAAATGTCTTTCTTCATTTCAACACAAAGATCAACTGATACCACCCTACACTTGTACATCTTTGCATAGTTCCTAGATCTAAAAAAAAATATCAGTTCTTCCTTTCCCATAGAAAGCTGAAATTCTTTCACTCTAGACAATCAACAATTTAATTAGCAAATTATCTTGCTAAAGAAAAGTGTTGGATTCTGCATAACCCATCCAACAAATGGACTTGGGAACACCTCTGGGTTAGCAGCTCTACAACTCATTATGTGACATTCTTATATCTATGTTGGAGAAACCACATATATGTGACATCCTTCCAAAATCCTGATTTCTGGGGAAGAAAGATAATTATATATGGTAGGGGAGACATATGGTGTCTTTTGCTCCCCAGAACTCTAAGTATGCAGAATGGATCTGTCATACAGTGTAGATGCTTCCATGAGTACTAATTCCCAGTATTAGGACAGTTGTGCTGTGCACAGTCTAGAATGTAAATTCATAACTGCGTCCAGTGATGCATTTTATACCCACAGGTCAGATGTTGGGAAAAATGGGATCATTATATGCTATTGTATTATACTTTTCATTTTTAGGGGTCATCAGAATGGCTTCCCAAATGGATAGAGAAACAAAAGATCAATATTTGGTTATCATCCAAGCCAAAGATATGGTTGGACAAACAGGTGCATTTTCAGCAACAACCACTGTCACCATCAACCTCTCTGACATCAATGACAATCCACCTAAATTTCAACAGCGTGAGTATAGGCTACTTACAGTGGTTGAAGTCTTGAGGAAATTTAGATCTACTCTAATTCTGTTAAATTCACTGGTAGGTCTTTTCAGAACAGGTCTGTGTTTTGACTGCAGCACAAATATTTAAATAAAAATAATAATTAAAAAAATCACCCACAAAAGCTCAAAAATTAAGAGGCAATGAGAACCTATCATTATAAAGTGTCTCAGGTCTGCCTGTTTTTATCACTAGTCTTTGGAGACAAATGACTTAATGCTTTCCATACAGTTTGCTCTACCTAATCCTAGAATCTGGGCAATGAGCTGTTTAGTACCATTTTAACTCACCTTTTTTTCCTCTCTTCATTGTTTACTAACAGATACTGTAAACGTTTTGACAAATCATGTGACCTATTTGTCCAGGGAGTTTATAGGAGATTTGGGAACTGCTAATTGGGCTGTCAGGAAGAACTAGCAAAATGCTGTTGGGAAGTGCTGCCCTCCACTGTTCTTTTACCCTGTTGGTTCTCTTTACTTCTTTACTGCTAAAGTTAGGCTGAGAGAGGACGACTTAAGAGTGGAAAAGTTGTCACCCCTTCCCCAAAATCTATCCATTGCTGGATTAGATCCATTTCTCTAATAATATCTTGGGACTTTCTCCAACTTTCTGAGAGCCTCAGGCCATCACAGCTACAACAGCTATTAACCATGGTAGATCACTAAACTGTGCCAGTATTTGTTCCTTTAGGACTCTACTATATGAACGTCTCTGAAGAGGCTCCTGTGGGAACTACTATAGGCAAAGTCTTTGCAGAAGACAGTGACATAGGGGAGAATGCAGCCATGAATTATTTCATTGAAGGAGATAGCTCAGATATTTTTGACATCATTACTGACAACAAGACTCAAGAAGGAATTATCCTATTAAAAAAGGTGAGATCTCAGAAACCTTTTAAAAAATCTCTAAATACTGGAAGGAATATCCTTAAGTAAATTGGATGTTTAAAAAAAAGTCTGTTGCTTTAGATTCTACTATTTTTTTTCTTTATTCAGGCTTTGTGATTTCATTGGGATATTAGGGGGATAAAAAGAAATATGATTTTCTTTCTGTTTTCTTTTTTTGACTCATCTCTATTACTGCTGAATGCAATAGTGGCAGTCAAGGTACCTTAATGTTATTCCTAGCTGTGCAACACAGTGTATCCCATTGTGAGAAAATGTTCTATCTCTTCTGTGCATCATCTGTAAAATCTTTATTAATGAATTGTGTACAATATTTCCTCACTTCCAACACCTCCTATTAAACTTAACTGAAGCCAGAATATGTTACAGTATTAGATAGACTGTGGAGTTTTTGCTTTGACATGGCTTTGAAAAGACGTTAAATACATTCAAATAGATACCAGTTGATGTATTAATTTTAAGATATATAAGAGACTTCTCTACTGTGTGATTTATTTTGGAATCACATGGGAAGATTCTGGGGACACCTGGATCACCATCTAAAATGGTGATACAGTTTGATAGTCTAGTGAAATCCAGTACCCTGAAAAACTGAATACTATAAATTTGGTGGTTTGGTGTGTTGTTTGTTTCTGTTTGGATTTATTACAATTCAGGGAGGTATATATTTAGCATTTATTTTTTTAATTACAGTAGATAACGACTATTTAAACTAGTAATATAACTATGTGTTTATTAAACACTTATTGTTTTCTGGAATTTATTTTCTTTAGAGACTAATTTTTAACATATTCAGTTTAACCCCTACAGATTAACTGATTCATACAGTTTATTTAAGAGTAAAGAATAGTGTTCATTAAGGTTACACCTATGTTGGAAACACAAGTACTAATAGAAGTAGGTTTTCTTAGGGCTGACATTGTATGGGAAGGTTTCTTTTACAGTGTTGTTTAACTGTAATTAAAACCAGCCTACATGTGAAAGCAAACAATGTCATAGCATAGTTTAATTTTTAAAGTGTTTTTAATAATAAAAACAAAATCTTAGAAGTAACTACTTTTGAAACATTCCCAAAAGAAAGATAGCACTGTTTTGTCTTGAATGTCCCACCACTTACTGAACTGTGTTTAATTCAAATGTGAAGAAAAAAATGTTCCACGTCTCTCTTTCTTAACAGAGAGTGGATTATGAGATCAAGAGAAGATACAGTATTGAAGCAAAAGTTGTAAACAGGTACATTGATGAACGTTTTCTGGAAGAAGGACCATTTGAAGACAAAACAATTGTCAAAATCAATGTGGAAGATGCTGATGAACCTCCAGTTTTCACCTTGGAGAACTATGTGATGGAGATTGCTGAAGGGGCTATGGGAGGATCACTGGTGGGTGTTGTAACTGCTAGAGATCCAGACGATGATGACTGCCCAGTCAGGTACTTAACTTAAAATGTGAACAGGCCTCAACTATAAATGTAGTTGGGATTTACAAAGGCTATTTCTGTTCCTTATCTTGGCTCATGGTTACAGTTAATTATGCTTTCATTGTGATAGCCTAGGTTATTCTAGGTGTTGTGGTTTAACCCTCATAGGCAGCTAAGGACCGCACAGCTGGTCTCTCACTCCCCCACCATTGGGATGCAGGAGAGGATCAGAAGGATAAAAGTGAGAAAACTCTTGGGTTGAGATAAAAACAGTTTAATAATAATAAAAAAAAAAAAAAAAAAAAAAAAAGGAAAAAAAGAAAGAAAACAACAAAGGGAAAAAACAAAACCAAAAACAAAACAACAAACAAACACAACAAATACCCACCCCAAAAAAATTATCCAAAAAAAACCAAAACAATTGCTCACCACCAGACAGCTGATACTCAGACAGTCCCCGAGCAATGGTGGCCCCTCCCAGTTTTATTACTGAGCATGATGTCATATTGTATGGGATGACTCTTTGGTCAGTTGGGGTCAGCTGTCCCGGTTGTGTCACCTCCCAACTCCCTGTACACCCACAGCCTGCACGCTTGTGAGGCGGTGTGAGAAGAAGAAAAGGCCTTAACTTGCTCTTTATGAGCACTGATCAGCAGTAACTAAACCATCCCTGTGTTATCAACATTTTCATCAGAAATCCAAAACATAGCCTCATACTAGCTACTATGAAGAAAATTAACTCCATCCAAACTAAAACCAGTACAGTAGGTTAAATTCTGACCCTGATTCCAAAATCTAAATAAATTAGCTTTGTTTGTACATCTTTGCAATCACTTTGAGATGGGGTAATATTTTAAACAGTGGTCTGGAGAAGGCTGTGCATAGCATGAGAGCTAGGGTACCATAGACAAACCTGTAAATGCCTGGAGGTGTTCTTGTCTGTTCCAAAGAACTTATGGAGATATGGAGAGATGGGCTCATTTCTGGAAGGGAGGCACAAAACAGCTCCATTGACATCTGCTCAGCTCAGCATGACCAAAAATTTACCAATTCTGCACATGTACCACAACTGTCCCACAGAGATATTATATAAAAATAGTTCCCCAGGATTTTAATTTTGTAAAATAATTTTGCTGTCTCTTAAGGGAGAAAACAGGTAATTAATCTTTAACATGGGGTTCATAATTAAAATAGCTACTTGAGTGACTTGACATGACTGTGTACTGTGCAATTTAGACAAGCTAAGATACAAGGACAAATAGATGAGACAAAATAATTTATGGAGTATAGATTCCTACTAGCAAATATAGTTATATATACATGTATGTATATATATTGCTACCTACAGTTACGGCTTCAGAGGTCTAGTCAATGCAAGGTCATTTGTTATGATTTTGCATTCACTTACTGTTATTTAGTAAGCTAGTTATAGGTTTAATTAAGAAAGAACAAGTAAAAATATACGTGTACTTTTTTTTCCCCGAGAAACGGGCTTATTTTGTGGTTCATTTAGATGACTGCAAAATCTCTTGTAATACATTTAAACATAATGCAAATCTATGACTTATTAGTTTGAAATATTATGATGAAACTTGCTACAAATATGTCTGTATAGTCCTAAAACAGTAACATATTGCATTACCCAGGTTTTGTTGTTTTTTTTTTTTTTTTTTCTTTTAAACAGGTTATATCACTTCTAATGCAAAGATATGTTTATTGGGATAAATGCCATGCATATTAATCTAATTTTAAAACTATTGCTATCATAAATGACAGCAGTTGCTTATAGTATAGAAAACCAGCTGTGGACCCCAGTTTTCAAACAAACGTAGTAAAAAAAACAAACATGCAACAAAACCTCACTACATCAATAATAAGTAATTGCTAAGAATAACTAGCATAGATTTTCTGAAAATTATCTATCAAGAATCAGATTACCAAAAAAACGCCAAATGAAACAGAACATTAATGTCAGAAAACCCTAACAAGCTTTGGATGCAGATTATGAGGAATACTTACATTAAAAAAAAAAAAAAAAAAAAAAAAAAAAATTGTAAATCCCTGAAATAGAGGTTTATAAATGTCAAATATTTGGCTCAAATAATAAAAACTTTCACTGACTATGTTGTGTGGGTTCCTTGATTTATCCTCTTACCAACTTTCAAAACAAAAGACAACTAAAAATAACAAGTTAGAGAGTCATCCAACCACTGGCACATAATCTGAGCTGGAGTCTTAAATGCCGACAGGAGATAGACTGTCAAGTACAATTAAAGGTACAATAAAAGAAGGAAGAGTTGCATGTGGGAATTCCAAACTGGAACAGTAAGAAGCTCTCAACTCTTCAAACAGGTTTCATTTCCATGAACTAGACTCTACTAGGAACTGTGACATACCATCTTTCTTTTTTTTTTTTTTTTTACGTCATGAAAGATATTAGTAAATATCCTTTCCATTTGAACCAATATCTTTGGTGTCTTTTTCAGAACCAATATCTTTGGTATCTTTTTCAGTCCATCACTGGCCTGTGACCAGTGGTTAGACTTTAACAATTTAAATGACATGTATGTATGTATATGCACATGTGCATGCCCATATATAGACAGCATCCAGAGCTTTTTCAATTAAGACTCAGGAACACCTGACTCATTTTCAATCATTTCCTGCATTAGGATTTTGTACCCTGCCTAGGTGTCACCTCATTACAGATAGTTGTCTGTCTTTCTTTATAATGTCTGTTCCCTTGGCATCAGAGCACATCAGCAATGATAAAATAGATTTGCCATTATACCTCCACTTCACTTTTAGTGTTATTCATTTCACAAGTGGCACTTTGCTGTTTCTTTTCAACGAAGTCACTCACCTGCTGTGAGCCTGACTCAGAAGTAAGAATGAATAATGCATTTCATATTCAGTTGACATTAATATAGATCTGAGAAATATTTAGTTTTATAAAAAGAAAAGCTTTGATCTTGGCAGCAGTGAATTTTAAATATTTATAAGTGTACAGTTTTCATGATTTCTGAGTTGTTGCAGCACACATTTATATGTATATATGCACAGCTCTGTTTTCTCAGCTGACAATAGTTTTCTATGTCCTTGCCTCTGATGGAACATTTTAGTACTAGGGAATCTCTTTACTTTTTTGGTACAGGTACTCTATTGTCCATGACATGCATTTAAAGAGATTGTTCAGCATCAATGAACACAATGGAACAATCATTACAACTAAACCTCTGGACCGAGAGATAGCTTCTTGGCACAACATAACTGTTACAGCCACAGAAACAAGTGAGTAAGAAATTTAAGGAATGCTGTGTTTTATATACTGTGAACTGTATTTATCCTCTGAATATGCCTTTTTTAAGTGAAGAAAACATGCTTCTTTCTCATTATGTTACTGTTGCTTGCTACATTAAGGAGCATTATTAAAATGATTAGTTAAATAGACATGGAATGTATCTGAGCTCCAAGATCCTGTGCTCTTTCATAAAATATGGCCTTATAAAAAAAAGAAAGGAAATTGTAATAAGTTGGAGACTGTAATGCTTTCAAGTTACACTGAAGCATATGAATTACTCCTGCAGTGCAAGATCTTATGTTAAATTAGATCCTGGTTAATTTCACACCAGATTTTTGACTAGTGTGAAATTAGCCAGGGTCTAATTTAACACCAGTCAGAAACCTGTGGCTCATTAATTGTGAATATAAGGCCGAAATCAGCTAGACTTCTCTTCAGTGACAATTAAATCTGTGAAGCATCCTTTAGATAGATTTCATCTGTCAGTTTGGTTTGAAAGTCAAATGCAAATTACCTCTGTTTTTGTTTTTGTTGTACTGGTTGCCCTAACTCTGGGACAACACTCTAGAAAATTAACAGCTACTGATTTATAAGGCAGTTAAACAAGTTTATTGGGATTTTATTTACAAGATAATCACATCCATCATCAGAAGGAGAGAAAAACATATGAAAGTAGAGTCTAATCAATAAATTGGACAGGTTTTGTCAAATAATCTTAGCATGTTTTTTTTAATCCTGAATCTCAGTTATATGCTATTTATTGCTAAGACTTCTTTAAACACATATTCATAAATGCCATTGATTCCAAAAGGGACCATTCATTTGTATATATGTAGAATATTACTGCTAGAGTTTAATATCGCATAGTTAGTAGCCATTTTCATTGAAGTCTTTATTTTGTGTTTGGGAATTGATAGTATTTTCTTCATTTTCAGCTTCTCTGTGAGTTTTTAAGCATGAATGTATTTTACTTCTCATGTTGTTGGACAGCTGGCAGGTGTTGGTAAAATTGATCTCCGGCATATTTTTGTCATGTCTTGAATAGCGCTATGGAAACACAGCAGGATGACTTTGGTCTGGACTTTTTTTTTTAATTAAACAATAAAATAGGAAAGAACGAAATGTTACAAATGAATAAATGTCTCCTGCAGCAAAAGGAAGTGAGTCTTTCACAGTAATGAAAGATATTGTAGAGAAACCAAGCCCTCATTATCTTCATATTCTTGTTCTTTAATGATGATAAGATCACTGTCTATAACATTATATTCAAAAGCATTGAAGCTAGGTCGCCTTGGTCTGGGTATACCTGAAATGATTTATATTATGAAATAGTAGCATTTTATTCCTTGAAATATAGTCATAACGTACACTGTGTGTATGTGACTTCTGGCAGATGACATTGTGGCTCCACTGAAGCTAAATCAAAATGCCATCCACATAAGATATTAATTATAGCTGAGACAGATATTGAAACTACATTACAACAGCAACCTCTCTAGGGGCCTATTGAGGTCCTGGCATTCATAAAGGACACAAACTTTTTCCCTCCATTGCAATGACAGGGATCAGAGATTAGTAAGAGGAGCTTGCCTCTGTTATTGCAGACTTGTGGTGTGGATCATCCTATCCTTATGCCATTGAGAAAGCATGTTTTAGAGGTACGTGGATTGAACTCATTGGACTTTAAATGTGAGCAGTCAGAACCTGTAATCTGTTGAATCTTATTCTACTTTATGCCTAAAATGGTTCTAGCTCAAGAGAAATCAAGTTTCCATTAATCAGTTTTCACTTGGTTGTAATCAGCTTCCACCTAGTACAAGGCTGAAGCACGAACAACAGCATTCTAACTATGCATGAAAGCAAGAAATCCTTGTCATCAGTTTTACTGACCACTGATTTAGTGAGTCAGATGAAGATATACTGACAATTATTTAATTTGGAAGAGGAATATCTACTTCAGCTTTCTCTCTATTGAACTGTAGATGACCAACAAGAGTTCCCAATGGTAGCGACTGGCTTGATCTTACTTTGATCCTCATTTCTCTATATGCCCATTGGAAAAGTGCACTACCAGTCATAAGCAAACTTACCCACAAGAGACAACAATCATTTTCCCACTGGGTCTTGCAGATGTCCTTTCATAGTGGGCTCCAGACCTACTACATGACTACAGAATTTACAGCTCTTTGAAGCTTTCAGCCACAGACCACATCATCAATTCACCATTTAATTGTTCCCCCATGTTGGTCATATATACTTTTGTTGACAGACCTCTAACTTTTTAGATTAGTCCTTTTTTTTAAAAAAAAAAAAAAGTTTGTTTTCACTTCCTTTAGGAAGTAAAGAAATTTGATTTAGCCTAAATTATAGCAACTATTATTATTATTATTATTACTGTTAATATTATTATTATTATTATTACAAGTCTCCTTTTACTGGCTCATGACAATGCCAAGCTTTCTTTAATTGCCTTCAAGTACTGACTTCTACTTTGTCTCTAGAAATGGACTCTGCTTTTCTTTTCACACAGCTCCAAAATAAACAAGTTACTACTTTTAAAATATCAGCTTCATTCTTCACACTGATCCAGCCTATTGCACTTGATATCATGTTCTCTTAGACCTTGTTTTTGAGCTTCTGATCTCTCTCATGAAGATTATGACAAAGAAATTTTCTGCTCATTGAAATAACTTTAGCCTAATGTAGGCTATAAGTACAATAGCTGTATTTAGATTTTGACAACTATTTTCCTGTAGGCAAAATAAGTGTTTCCTACCATCTTCCCCAATTAAAACCAAAGGAGTCACTCTGTTTCATCCAAAATCTTCACTAAATATTTATCAAACACCGATGTCAAGGGTGGCTTTGTAATGTATTGCTTCCTCCTAAAAAAACACCTGTGATTTCAGAAAAATTAAAAACTTTCATACAGTTATCTTCCAACAGCAATGTAGAAAATGCTCTTCCTTGTTGTGTAATAAACAAAATAACCACGACACAACCACCAAAATATAGTAAGAAAGTAGAAACAAGACTATTACCAAAAATAAATTTAAAAAGAAGGGTTATTTGGTGAAAGAAAAGAGATGTGAATGGTAGTTCTACACTGAAAGGTGCTATCTAAATATTTGTGCAAGAAAAGGGTAGGCTTTAAAGCCATATAATATCCATGAATCTTATGAACAAGCAAGTTAGGAATAAGCCAAGGTATCTGGGTCCTTCCCATGCCACTTTGTATACGACTGAAGTCACCTGTATTTCCTGCTTCCTAATAAGTATCACAAAGCTTTAATTTCAATGCCAATTCAGCCAAATCTCTGTCTTACACATCCAGTTCTGACTTAAGTAAAAGAGGATAATTAAGTCCTACACTCTTGGTATTATTTCTAAAGGGAATTTGTACTACTTTTTGTGTATATTTAAAAAATAAGCTGAGTACAGTTTCATTGCCTATTGTATTATTATGGATGTTGTGTTTCAACACCAAATATGTCATCCCACAAAGAAATAATTTTAAGATGACTCTGATAGATCATAAGCTTTGGTAAATTATCACAGCTCTAATGATTTCACAGAAAGAATAGCAATGTGAAACTGTTGACTATCTAGCCCTTTACCTCTGTGGTAGTTGCTTTTGCTGCCATTTCCTTTGTCAAAAGACTCAAAGCTTTCAACACAGATTCCATAAGAACCAAGAAAACAATTGTTTTGTTCCAAGCAAGAAGCGAATTATACATTAAAAAAACAATGTAAGAACCAACCAAACCCATACAGTTTGAAGTGAGTCAGAAAGGAGTACATTTAGTTTTTCTCTTAAAGGTCCATTTGGCTAATTGAAGAAAATTCCTTCAGGACTTCTGAACAGGTCAGAAGCAGTAACACTAGCAACCATCTTGAGGCATATTTTAACTATAATGAATATTCTTGTGCGTGACATTCTGGTTTAGACAGAGCAGATTGAGGTATTGATAGATATTTATGTTGATAGATATTTAGTATTCCTGGAATGTCTTAAGATTATTTTATTCACTGGAAAAATGTTTTCATTATCGTCCTTACCCAACAATACATCCAAGTTAATGTGAATGTTATTGTTGCAGTGAAACTTCTTGCCTACTAGAGTAATAAATTATGTTGTGTGGAAGGCAGACACTTCTCAGAGATATGCCATGCAAGTGAGTATGCTCATAGGTGAAGGACTTCCAAGAGGTATTCATATAGAATCATAGAATCATTTAAGTTGGAAAAGACCTTTAAGATCATCGAGTCCAACCATAAATATAACACTGCCAAGTCCACCACTAAACCATGTTCTTAAATTCTACATCTACACATCTTTTAAATGCTTCAGGGATGGTGACTCAACAACTTCCCTGGACAGTGTTTGATAACCCTTTTAGTGAAGAAATTTCTCCTAATATAAACTCTAAACCTCCCCTGGCACAAATTGAGGGAATTTCCTATAGGAAAAAGAGACTGACCCCCACCTCGCTACAACCTCCTTTCACATTGTTGTAGAGAGCAATAAGGTCTCCCCCAAACCTCCTTTTCTCCAGGCTGAACAACACCAGTTCCCTCAGCCACCCCTCATAAGACTTGTGCTCTAGATCCTTCACCAGCTTTGTTGCCCTTCTTTGGACACGCTCCAGCAACTCAATGTCTTTCTTGTAGTGAGGGGGCCAAAACTGAACACAGTGTTCAAGGTGCAGCCTCACCAATTCTAAGTGCGGGGGGACAATCACTTCCCTAGTCCTGCTGGCCACACTATTTCTGATACAAGCCAGGGTATTATTGGCCTTCTTGGCTACCTGGGCACACTGCTAGTTCATGTTCAGCTGCCTGTCTACCAACACCCCCAGGTCCTTTTCCACTAGGCAGATTTCCAGCCACTTTTCCCCAAGCCTGTGGCATTCCATGGGGTTGTTGTGACCCAAGTTCAGGACCCAGCACTGAGCCTTGTTGAACCTCACACAATTGGCTTCAGCCCATCAACCCAGCCTGTCCAGATCCCTCTGCAGAACATTCCTACCCTCAAGCCGAACACTCCTGCCCAACTTGGTGTTGTCTGCAAACTTACTGAGGGTGCACTTGATCCTCTTGTCTAGATCATCGATAAAGATATTAAACAGAACTGTCTCCAATATTCAGCCCTGGAGAACACCACTTGTGCCTGGATGCCAGATGGATTTAACTCCATTCACCACAAATCTTTGGGCCTTGCCATCCAACCAGGTTTTTACCTGGAAAATAGTACATCTGTCCAAACCATGAGAAGCCAGTTTTGCCAGGGGAATGCCGTACCTGCAGATCTTCCTTTCCTTGGTTTCAGGTGACATATTTATAAACATTTTTATTAGATAAAGAAATATTTTTTTCAGCCTAGACTAGACACAACTTTTGTACCATGAAACTAGTATAGTTAGGTCTGGCTTTTCCTTGTCTGAGGTAGTTATAGCAATATAATCTTGTGTAAATGCAGTAAAGTCAGGAAAAAAGTGCCTTATATTAGCAGTTTATTTTCCTTTTCATACAGGAATAAGCAATACTGACGTAGGTTTAATATCTAAAGCCACAGTAATAAAATGACTTTATATATATACAGTAATAAAGTATACTAGTATAACAGAAACAGTACAACTTCTGTGAGTACAAAATGCATAGGAATTAAGCCTGTTGTGCAAATAATACTTGGAACAAAACTATAAGCTCTGCCTATGAAGTCTGTCAGCAGTAATGCTTAGACATGCCTGAGCAAAATCAGACTTCCTTGCAAAATTGTATTTGGAGACCAGTGGATAGAACAGCTCTGTTATTCCAAATTCAAAGTCTCAGCTTTCTGTCTTGGCTAGGGTTGAGAATCAGTATCCACTGCAATTACTCTATGTCTAGCAGTAGCAGAAATATTTTTAAAACATGTAAATTTTGGTGAAATTTTCTCCCATGGCTTCAGAATTTCAAAATACTAAAGAAGAGAAAGAATAATGGAATTTCTTAAAGGATTGTGACCAATTGTTGTGGCATCCATGATGTTAACTGATGTAAGAAAGTGAAGACACCTACTCCTGCTGCTCCAGTCCTTGACCCTTCTGCCCAGTCGCTGGAGCTCAGCCCTGTGTCCAGGGACCCCAGGCCTCTGACCAGGCTCAAGGATGCAGCTGACACTTTCCTGTTTGCAGACTCAACTTGTAGCAAAGCTGAGCATGTGTCCAAGAGACACAGACACATAGACACAGAGGATGCTGACACAACCAGTCATGCAGACTGCCACAGACAAGGTGCTGCCTTCAGTATCACCTACAGGACTTATATAAACCACAAGGACAAATAGCCAATACCCTCCTCCTCTTCATCTGGAGATGCGAAAGATCATGGGCACAGGCACACACACACACGCACATGACACTCTGCAGGTTCACAAGCACCCACACACTCATGGATCCCTTCAGTATCTTCATGGACCCTCTGTCCACCTGGCACCCCTGCTCAGATCCTAGGTCCTCTTATCCATTTCATGGGAACCTGACTCACCAGCTAGTCCATGCTTGATATTCACTGTCAAACCCACAGCACTCACACACTTGTCCCTCATGCACCCCACATTTACAAGTTCCCCCTGAGCACTTCACCTGGACTCAAGGACCCCCTACTCACTGTTGAGTCCAGCTTAAAGTTTGCTAGCAAAAACACACACACACCCCGTGCTCACCCAGTTTGGGGAAGATATAGACACTTGTTCCCTGTGCCACCCACTCACTCCAGTAGCTAGCACCATGGGCCAGGGGCACCCACAGCCCGGTCTGACTCCTGTAGCTGGAACTAATTTTTACTCATACATACTTAGGTCTTAGCAGTAGCTGGTACTTACTTGCTGCAACACACATAGACATACAATGATATATAGAGAGATTATGCAGAGAGATAACTAAGAAAATACTTATTAAGAAGATATAAAATGCTAGGACTGAATGGTGATCAGGCACAGGGCTCAGCCAGACAAGCATAGTGACCGGCCCTGTTATACCCCTTTCTGTCTGCCCTTTCTTTGTTCCTCCCTGCACGTCCCCCATGGGTCTATACAGCTCCACTGATTCCAACATTCCTCTGGGTCTGGGGTCTCAGATCTCTCTGGTTTACAGTTTTATCAGTTGAAAAGTCCAGCTTGATATACCTGAAATTGTTGCCTTGTGGTTTCTGGATAGCCCACTAACTATTGTAAGGTTTGTTTCTTGTCATTGTCTCCACATTTGCTTTGTCAGGTCTGTGTCTTGGTATATTTTGTTTCTGTTTTCCCCTTTTTCTCCCTTGGTTTCCCAATTGACAATGTCCCCAATCAGATAACCTCATAGGAATAAACTTTCTTACACTGTCATGTGCCCCTATCAATTAGTGTGTCTGACCAGGTTTGATTCTCATCACCATCTCCGCTATCATCTGCCCATCAGGTTTGTGTACCTGCATGCTCTTGTTTATGGCTTCCTCCTTTTCTTATTAAGTCTTGTTGCATTGAATAAGATCCTTGACCAGATACCCTAAAAGGAACAGTCATTCCTTCCACATATGCTTACACATGACTAGTACATCAAATTTTTCAGTGTATCCAAAACTTCATTTAATTTCTCCAGATCAGATTTTATTTTTTATATTTAAATCAGTTTCTGACTTGGTAAATGAAAGAGTGAACAAATCCAGTATTTTAAATGAAATATCCTTATATATTTCAAGATATACTATTATAATTTAATGTGATGGATTGGTGAAAAAAAAAACCCAAAATATAATCCCACCACCTTTTTTTAAACAGAATCCTAACAAAAAAGAAAATGTCCTTTTTTATATGTGTCAGATGTATTTGAACTCATTAAAAAGATTTAGTATAAAATGTGTCTGTAAGTCTCAGTGACTATTTTCTTCTCTGCAGAATATAAGTAAAATTTTATAATGCCTACATTAAAATATGTAGCAGATGATAACTTTTGATTTCTGTCTTTTTTTAACCATTAGAAAATCCTGAAAAAATTTCAGAAGCAAATGTGTATATCCAAGTTCTTGATGTTAATGATCATGCTCCAGAATTCCCCAAATATTATGAAACATTTGTTTGTGAAAATGCAGTTTCTGGACAGGTAAGTGTGAAGGAGTTGCCCACTGGCTTTCTCATTACAATGAAGATTTGGTCTGAAATGTTACAATTTCCTTTAATATTAATTACTTCTGTACTGTGAGTATAGGCTGTATTTTGCCTATTTCCAAAATTAGTTCTGTTGATATATGTATAGTTTGAAATTTAGATTTCAGAAGACTGATGTGTATTTTTCCCCCTTCAAAATAAAATTGATACATCTCCTCATTTGTCTACCAAAACAGGTAACGGAGAAATACAGACAGAAACTTCTGAAACAAAACTAACATAAAACAGAGTTCTGATTCTTGCTTATGTCACAGAAGCTAAAACTAGGCCTGGTATTTACAGCAACAGCATAATATAGTCTGGAAGAACCAGACTTAGACCAGATTCAAACTAGATTCATTGTGTTCTTCAGTTAGAAATCATTTATTGTGAACTGAATTCAAACCCTAACTTCAGTGGAAATCTGAAGATATTTAAGTCAGCCCTTGCAATACCTTCTCTAGCTGGCAGTTTACGGGATTGTCGTATTAAGCATCCTTCCCTGAAGGATTTTTTTCACCTGCTCCCCAGTTGAATGGGGTTACATCAGTCAGATGCCCTAATCTCCAGGTACACTGCTGACTCTCCATTTTCTTCCACCCACTTTCCTCTACAGCTTTACATTTATTTTAAGTGATCCTGTTCTGCAGCCTAAACACTGAGTCATGGAAAAAGCGTGCCACCAGGCTCCACACAGGAGTCTAAAAGAAAACTGCAAGAGGAAAAAATGGATTTTCAAAGTTGGTTTTTTTTTTTTTTTTTTTTTTTTTTTTAAAAAAGGTATAAAATGAGCAACAAAAAAGCAACATCATAAAACTATAGACAGAATAAACTATATGTCTTTTTCACCACTTTACAGCATTCTTTGGATATAGGAAAGAGAGCTTTGGGGTATTTGTGATGCTACCATTCAGCATTTTGCTGTGTTTTGATTTCTGAATCACAGAGCCTTTCTTTTTACATCAGCTTGGTTTACTTTGACCTCGATTAGTCTGCAGTTAAATAAAGCGTTCTTTGTAGCAAAAGTAATTTCTTTATAGTTTTTTGCATCCATTTATAAATTTCTCTATCAGTAGTTGGTTGGTTTGTTCTGCATTTGCTAATTTTCCACTCTGCAAAGGCTACCTCTGTTTAAGAGGTATCTGGAGCAAGCCATTTCTTTTGGTCTTTGGATAACTCATTGAGAGATCAAAGTATAGACATTAGAGCAAATACCACTTCATGTTCCTTGTCTCAAGACACCATGAATTAAATATGGAAACTTATAAAATGGATATTTGTAATCCATGTTTTGGACTTGTCTGCAATATAAAAACCTAGGTGATTTATTTTCCGATGTATTTATTATTCTATAGTTTCATATTGATAAATAACATCTGTATGCTAACCCATTACTGGCTACTTTTCAATAACAATTAAGTGTGTATATATATGTGTGTGTATATATATATATATAAAGAATTTTGAGAATCACTGGAGAAAATGGCACTGTAAAGAGTAGTAGTGGCAGTAACAATAATAAACTCTTTGAGCATGGGATGTAGAATTATTATTGTTTAACATTGTAATATCTGAATGAGAAATGAGTATGATATTTTTACCATTTTACAGACAGGCAAAATGTTACTCTAGAATTTTTTTTTTTTTTTTTTTTTTTCATTGCTATAGGTTTTTGAGAGTCAGAGGCATCTTTTAGTTTAGTCTTTGGAGACCATGACAATAATGTTAAATAATCATCTCATTAACAAACAGTTTTAGGAAGAACAACAGGAAATTTCTACTGAAGGGCATAATTCTCACAGTCAGAGTTTATGATATTTTATTCAATGTTTATGATTTAAAGCAGAATTGATAGCTGTGATATTATTTTTTTTTTTTTTTTACTTTATACTCACAGAAAAAAAAGTTATTTATTTTCATCAGCAAGAAGACAAAATGTTCAAAAGTGATGTTATAGCTGACGTGGTTGTCCACTGAATAACACAATTTACATTTCAGAACAATCAGTTTAACCAGCTGAAGGGCTTAATCAGGACATTACATACCTTTTTATCTTAGACTTATTTCTGCAATCAATTACAAACAGCTCAGGAATCTGCTTATACGTTATGAGTTGAGATCAAAGTTAGTATAGATACTGTGCCACGTTTCAGTGTCTAAAGCAGTTATCTCTATCCATTTAGCTGGAAAAGATATGCCGAGAGGTATTCTCAGAAATGTTCTGCACTTCTGGCATTCACTCTCTTTCCTGATCTCAGATGAGTTGTGTATACTTTCATGGGATACCTCAAGATATATTTGCATCCCCCAGATGATAGTGTTTGTAGGAAAGGAAGGAATGGCACTGCAGAGGGAAAGATACGGTCAAAAAAATAAATTGTCTTATTTTGATGACTTTTTCTTGGTGTCTGTCTGGTTTACAATAGAAACAATACAGAGTCATGTGGAAAATAAGCTATTTTTACACAGGCTTAGAGTATAGTAGGTTATGATAAAAAATGTGAAACACATAATGAATAAAACTAATTGTTTTCCTAGTTATCCAAACTCATAGGCAGTTAATGGTAGCTTCAGTCTAGAGAAGAAGACTTGTTTTAAAGTTTTGGATTTTCTGAAAGATTATCAAAAATTCTTTGTGTACTTTTATTGGATGAGTGTTGATCTTCATGTCCCTGTACAGTGGTTTTGTGAGACTTACAATGTTTAGCTTAGCCTCCAAAAGACACTCAAACAAAAATTTTACATTTTGGTCTGTGGGACTATAATCTGAAATTTTACAATAAAAATGGATGTAAAGGAGATAGATAGGTGGTTTTTGGTATCATTGTAAACCCATTCTTCCTGTTTATTAGACATTTTTAATTAATTTTTCGCTATCCACTTCATGTTACAGTTCTGTATTATCCTATAATCCAAAAGTCAGCTGTATACTAACCACAACTAAAGTTTCCTTTTGCACATTGCAAACCCACCTTCACTGTATCACCGGTATTAAATACATTATTTTCAAAATGGCTTGAACATGAAAGTTGCTATGTAAAATAGACTTCCATCCTACTACAGATATAGCTGTTATTAGATCAAATAGAACAATATTGATAAGGCATCCAACCCCATGATTCTCTTTAAGTTGCACCCTTTGACTTTATGTATGTAGACATGGTAAATGATTACCACAATGTGGTATTGATTCTTTATAGCTACCCTTTACATGTGTGCATGGTAACTACTAACTGTTGAATTCTAGAGGAAATATTCTATAAAAATAATTAGAACACAAAGTGAAACAAATTTAACACTAGAGACATCTCAGCAAAAATGGATTTGAGCCAGAAAAATTAATTTCCAAGGCATTAATAAATTAACACACATTGAAATTGCAGCCTGAAAGTCAGATGTAAGCTATAGGAAATATCTTACATGATGTGTAAGCAAGCTGACCATCCAGAATGCCTATTTGTATGCGTGGCAATTTCAGCCCTTTGGTGGACATTGGTCTTTCTTCATATCATGCAGGAAACAGATTCCAGCTGAAGACAAGCTACACTGAAAACACCTGCATTCTGAATTAATGCTGTCTTCTCTGATGCATATTTATTCTGGCAATTGTGAGTTCCTGTAATTTGGGGATCACATATGAAGTGACACTGATGTTGCAGCTTGCTTAGTAATTTTTATTAGATCCAAAGAAGTGACTATGTATGCAGAGTTTGAGATAGAGATAAGAAAAAATCCAGATTTCTTTACTCAGTACTTAGCATAGAATAAAATAATCATCAGTTACAATGAAAGTGAAGAATACTCATTTGATATAATTTCTCTACATAATAAAATGTTGACAGAAGAGGAGAAGTCTATAACCAAGTTCTAGGGCTATATGATTAATGTTAAAAGTGAAGAGTTTGCTAAAGCAGATCCTTTCTAACAAATCATGATGTAAAATGATTTTTGATAGTAAAGAAGTGAATGTGATAAGTCAGTAAGCCAATGTCTCTTATTTCACCTTATTATGTTCCCTTCATCATTTACAAAAAATATCTGAGCAGTAGTGATAAGAAAATAAAAAGTTAAAAGAAAAAAAAAAAAAAAAAAAAACGAGAGCATCTCTTAGAGTATAAAAACATGGTGAAGCTGTGAAAGCGTAATATATTCTAGCAGGTCCTTACTAAGCTGCCCCTGCAGATGTACTGAATGTTACTTGTGACATTTTGAAACAGTGGGCATAGTGGTCCACAGAAAATTCCTTTTTTCTGTTCTATACAGACCATGATTCAACAACATTATATTTTTGAAGAATGCAACAGGTAGGAAGAGTTTATCAGCATATACAAATGAATGTAAAAATGTACTTAATTGTCATGGCATAAGATTTATAATCATTCATTTTCTGAGATGTACACCATTTTATTTATAGCTGAACAGAAACATTAAGATGTTCAGATCAATAGTGTGCCAATTTGCTTTTCAAAAAAGAAATAGAATCAGTCAGAAGGAGAACCTTGGTCTTGAGATAGAATGTCTACCTGGAAAATGCAGGTGTTGACTATGGTAATGAACATTTTAATCTTTTACTTGGACCAAACTCTGATAGTCATCAAAGATTATTAAGCGATGAGAAAATTCCTAATACTCATAAGACCTCTGCCAGGTTGAACAAAAACAGTTCTTTACTCCCAAAACAGGTGGGTGATCAGATCTTGTACATCCTATAAAACACAGCAGAGTTCCTATTGAAGGATATTGGGTGGAAAACAAAACAAAAGAAACTAAAGTAGAAAGAGAGAGGTGGAAAATCTGTTCCTACTTCCATATGTCTAATGGGAATGGTAAGACTGTAGTTGGGTATGGAAGCATGCACAAAGAACTCCAAATTATATACTCAGAGTACTCTAGCATCAAATTAATGGTACTAATAGTTGGACATTGTATGCCTTAAATTTAAGTTGGTAGAGAGAAAGCTCTTAGAAGCAGAAAGAACAGTATCAAAGAAGCTTTCTTCTTCCTTTTTATACAAAATAATTAATCAATGAGAGATCAGAGCTGTTACTGATATCTTAGATTCCCTCACTGATGATATTAGTTGAAGTGCCCACTAAACAGATGGATGGGGAAGTTGAGTATAGCAGGCCACATCTTTTTGTGACCTTTGATCAAAGGAAGCCCTGCTGTTCCCAGCAGTTACCTCAGTGTATTTGGAAAGAAACAGTAAATGAGGCCCACTCACCATGAATTTAAACCAGTTTTTGATGAAAAATTGAGTGAATTAATCTGAGTTTTAAGGAAATGTACATTTTCAAATAGACTGCTGGATTATTAAAACTTCTAGTTTAATGATACCTGAAATAAAAAAAATTTACAGTAATTAAATTTCAGTCTAGTCAATACAACAATTGATACAACCTTGCAGAAAGCAACACATCATTCACTATATTCACAAACTAAAATGTAGGGATTTTTTTAAACCTTGACTCACAAGCAATAAATTAAGTTTTTCAGTCTGTGATGCCAGTTTCCCTGGTGAAAGTCTAGAATCTCCTGTTAGATGTACAGAAGCCTAGGAAACCAGAAAAAAAAAAAAAAAAAAGTTTCCTTCTCTTTGGGGAATTTTCCTTTAGAGTCAGCAAAATCAGAGCTGACTATTGCTCTCTGAATATTTTATAGACTCATGTGGATTTTGCTGAATCTTTGTGGAAGTGATACAGTAAGAAATAAACAATAAGGGTTTGCCCTGTCCTTATGTTCCAAATATCCCCCCGCTTCTAAGGTGAACACTTAAAGGCATGTGAATGTGTCTAGAATAATCATAGGATTCTTAGGCTTGTGTAGAACAGCACAGTATAGATCAAAACAAGGGAAGGTGAGGTTTTTTTAGTAAGCCACATACTCCTCTGAATTTTATTGATTGGATCACGTATAGATAAAATTTATGGGGGCAAATACATTCTGTATGTAAACTAGCAGAAATTAATAATGAAAGAGCAAAACAGTATCTAATTTGCAACTGTAATAATTTTATGATTTTCAAACATAATAGACATCTGAAAATATACTTTCCAAAGACATTGCTAATATCTGGTTAAATAACTATTATTCAGAATGAAAACTGAAAGTATAGGATGAAAACTGGAAGTATAAAAACCACATCTATAATTAATTGTGGTTTTGGGTTGGGTTGTTGTTTTTTTTTGGTAGGTAGGTAATTCTTTGTCAGGTAACTAAATTAAAACCAAAACAAATTAGATGTGGCTAAGTTGTCTTTGTAAATTACTATATAACTCTGCATATTCAGTCTAGCTTGAAAGACCCTGAATTGTTCAGACTGACATACAACTATACAAAGCTTTTTTCTCAGCTGCAGCCATGGAGGTATTGCTATCATCAACAAATCACTTCTCTCATTAGTGGCAATAAAAAAATCCCAAACGTCCTCATTTTTCCATAGAGTGAAAACACAGATTTAAAATACATTTCAGATATAAAAAGGGAACAATGCTAAGAATTCAAAGCTTCTGGGGTGTAAGCCACACTTTTCACTCTGCTGTGTTGATTTCATCAAACTTTGTTTGCTTGAAAAGAAAAAAGAATGTGTGCTGAATTGTTAGATTTGTGACTGAAAAATTATTTAATCAGGAAAGAGTTTTCAAAGGCATAGATGGAATGCTATAGTCACTTCCATTGACATACTGCTTTGCTTTTAAAACACCACTTGAAGCATTCAGGTCCGTTCTGGTTTGGGGAAAGTTGAGGCTTCAGGTCTCTTGGGTACAAATACCTACAAGGCATAAGATGACAGAGAAAATAGAGCCTAAGTTCAAATTGGACACTATCTTTTCTGAAAGTTGATGGTCTTGCATCTGTTTGCTTCTCTTCTGATTGGCAAGGATACTTACTTACAAATATATGCTGATGTTCAGGTCATTAAATATTTAGTGATAAAAGTAACAAATATAAGCCCTTTCTAAGCATAAATATTGCTTATTACGTTAATTGTAATGTGGCTGTTTATTTACAGAGATGAAAGTTATTCTTTTGAACTATAATGGTTATTTTTTATTTTATCTTGAATGTCTATCTGGTTTGACATATTTGTAAATGAAGGCTATTTTACTTCCTTGTGAAAAAGCTTCCAAGAAGTTCCATAATCAATCTGGTATAATACTCAGAATCAACAATTCAGGGCATGAACTTGTCACCATGTATCACTTACTGGATCTACAATGTATCAGTTGAATGATGTCAATGTGTTTGTGGGCTGGGAGGAAATGGGTTTTGTATAGATGGATTTGTTCAAATGCAGAATTATATACTTTTCATCTTGAAAAAAAAGAGGGAAAACCATTATATATATATGATTACTTTTTTCATTTATGTAAAATTCAATTACCCCTCAACTTTTGATCCAGAAAATCTTTTATATTTTCTTAGGATTTTAATGACTGACTCTCTGAAACAGATGAAAAATCAAAGCAGAGTATTGGCAGAAAATGAGTGTCAGTAAGCCTGTTTTGGTATCAAAGATGTGTATTTGTGAGTGCATAACACATGTATTCACAGATTACATCTATAGCACCAACAGTTTAATGTAGTTGATATGTCCTTTTAATGTTTTAAAGGACAAGTAAATACTTTTATTCTTAAACAATTATGTTTATCTGTGTTTCCAGCTAATTCAAAGCATCAGTGCAGTGGATCAAGATGACCCAGCAGAAGGTCACCATTTTTACTTCTCATTGGCTCAAGAGGCCACAAACAACTCACATTTTTTTGTCAAAGATAATCAAGGTAGTGTCATTCATGTAGCTCTTTAAGACCTTCCTAATGAAAAATGCATAGTTCTAGTGGTTCTCACATCACCGATTTTATAGAACTTTCCACTCAAATAGAAATTGTCCTTATAAGATAGAAACATGGCAAGAGATGCATTTCAAAACAATAATTCGGTAATACCAAATAACTTATTCTCCCTTTTCAGCCAAGTAACTTAAACAGCAAAAGATAGCTTTATTTCAAGGAAATAAAGAATTCTGAGATTAAAAATACACTGGTATTCCTTTAAATTTATTTTCTTAATGTAGGATACGGTGGGAAATACCAACTTTCTTGTTAAAATTATCTATTTGTCTATGAAACAAGATCACCAGAAAGAGAAGATTGCAGTTAATCTAAGTACGTTACTTCGACACTTCAGCAAGACCAAAATTATAAACACAGATAAATCGGAATGTAATCTTATTTCCTAGTACATTTTAAACTGCATACACTGATTACTGCTGACATCATACAAATGTCTTCTATATGTATTTTAAAGTTATTCAGAACTGATATTGGTTGAGACTTATTAAAAGAATGATATAGAGACATATCAAACAAAACCAGTCTGCAGTTAAGTGCAATATCTGATGGAATTTCTGGGATAATGACCGCTTAGAGTCTGTCTGCTGAGACTACAGAGATCCTTCAGACTCAGTTAAAGTACACATAGTTCTTACTGACTTTGTTGATTATTTGAATGTTCTGGCTAGGTGAATAATCAATGGAAACAAGTTTTGGAAAGTTCAGACTATGTTAAATGACAAATAACCGCTCTCAGTATCTCCAAAATTAGTCAATGTATTAATATGTATTTAAATTCCCAATGTCATTAACCTCTCACTCAGTGCCAGGGAGAGATAAGTTGTTACATTATGATCAAATTGTGTACAAGCCATGAGTTTTTCCACATTTGTTCATTCTGCAGAAGGCCAGAGCGGAGCCACACACAAGGCAACATGTCCAGTTCCTTTTAGTGACTGTTGATGGGGGAAAAAAAAACCTTTTAGAATATAGTACAATCATCTCTCAATCTCCTCTGTCACATTTCAAAGAAATGGCTGGGTGAATTGAGATAGTCCTAGGCAAAAGCAAAAGTGACTGTACAGATCTGGACCATTTTATCACAGAATTACCTTCTGAACTATGACAGAAACGTAGAAGAACTTAACTGTGAGAAAGTTAACTTCAAAAGATTGTTTGGATAGATGTATTACACAGATAATGGTAGAAACATGTTTTAAATTTTATTTTCTGTCTACATGTATGCATATATGCAGTAATTCACACTGCCATGATAAAAAATTCTGACACTTAAATGTTTATAGATTTTTCTTCTTTCCATTATACACAGATTTAGACAGGGCTAATTTGTTTTGCAACAAAGTTTCAGATTTAAATTAGTTCATATGCAGCAGGAGCTGACCTTAAGCTGCTTACTGGGTTTTGTATAGAAGTGGTTTCTAAGTACTACTAGTTAAATACAAAGCAAGGTGAGAGTCTCTAGCAACTTTTTACTAATTTAGATAGTAGGAGTTCAGCTAGCTCCAGATTTTGAGTCAGATAAAGAAATAAAAGACTATTTTAGGGGACTTTTTTCTTGCTTTCTCTTCTTTCCCTTGCCACCTGCTTTCTCTGTGTGCTGCCAGATGTACTTTTGAAGATTTTTGATCGGTAAACTGTCTATATTTCATCTGTGAACTGCTGGATTGGTAGCAACTGGTTACATGGAACAATTTTAAGAACCAATTAATTAGTCTGAGCAGGTGTCAGATATTGAACAGGGTGGGATTTTTTTAGCTCTGAACACTAAAAACAGAGCTTCTAGGTTGAATTTTATTATTGCCCCTGGAATACGTATGTCAAATATAAATTCATGATTGACACAAAAACCTCACCACATGTCAGTGTCTGGTTTTACTTTCTAAACTTTCTTTATATGGAGCTTTGTACAGTACCACTGTTTTCAAATAGGTCAGATTCCACTGGATTTTTATTGTTGTTGTTTAAAAGTAATAAATGCATATCATACATTATAACTTATCTTTTAGATAACACAGCTGGAATTTTCACAGCAAAAAGTGGCTTCAGGAGGCAAGAGCAGTTTTCTTTCTACTTGCCAATCTTAATTCTGGATAATGGAACCCCACCGCTGACAAGCACAAATACTCTCACCATCACTGTCTGTGACTGTGATATCGAAGTTAACACCTTCTACTGTCGATATGGAGCTTTCATGTATTCCATGGGTCTTAGCACAGAAGCTTTAGTTGCTATTTTGGCTTGCATACTAATACTCCTAGGTAAGTATGAGTAAGAGAAATTACTTTATTTCCTTTTACAGTAGGGTTGGTTAAGTGACAAAAATATTCCATTGACTGTAAGACTGGAATTACTGTGCTACTGAGAAAAATTGCAATACAGCAAACGTTTAAGTTCTTTTCTCTTTTCTTAACTATAATTTCCCCCTCCCAGTTTTCAGTAAAATTTGAATTCTAACACAATGTTCTAAAAGTTGTCTCTAGTTGAGTCATGACCCTGCTTACTCCTCCAGCATTGGCAATAATAAAGTTTTGGAAGTCAAAAGTCTGTATTGAGCTCAGATAAAGCTGAAGACAGCATTACACAAGAAAAGTGGCTGATGTAAGAATATATTAAAAGGACCAACACTCTACTCATTCTGCCTTAGGTATGCCAAATGTAGAGCTAGAGATCAATAGAAAATAATAAGAGAAAAGGAGAACCTAATACTCTCAGAAAGTAACTCCAGAAATAAATAAGGAGTTTCTCTGTCAATTATTAAGGTTGCATCTCCAAACAGCCTTTTTTCCAAATGTTGGACATCTTTTTACCACAGGAGATACCAAATTAACCTCCAGTACATTTGGGAGCTTGTGGATGTTAAAAGTGGGTTTGAGAGCATTTGAAATGTTCAGGAGTTGTGCTTGTGCCTCTGCAAAGGGTCATGCCTAGCTGGCAAATGGCTCCCAGAACCAGACCAACCACCCAAGTCTGGATGTTCCTGCCCTGTGTGGGGCTATAGCTGCTGCGAGATGTGTTGGAGTGACAGCACTCAGGGAAACAGCTCCTTTACCTGGTGAAGCATGCAGCTATTGCTGCTACAGTGCATTTGCATTTTTTCAGCAAAAGGATATTCTTGCAGTGTTTGATGAGTGATTTGATGACACTGACACATTATAACAGCAGGCACACTGGACTCAACATTCCCCAAAGGTTAAATATCCATCTTGAAACTGTACCTGTCTGAGAAAGTGAGGCTCAGGTATGGTAGTTTCTGACACCAGGAAAGAAAAAGAATTCGTAGAGATGGGTAGGTTTGTTTTCCAAGACAAAATGACCTTAGAGCTTGGTCACGGATGGTGGTCATGGGCCTCAAGAACAAATTCAGGCTGATGCCAATAAAACAACAGGAAAGGACTTCCAAATCCCTGTTGCCCATGTAATAAAATAGCATATCCATTTTATGATATATTTCAGTATGTTTCATAAAATGCCATATCCAGAAATACCACAGAACAATTGATGGATTATATTAGTAAAACCATTTTGCCACTAATAAAACTACAAACAAATAACTCTAAAAGAAGAAAATTAAGAAATAATCAGGATTTCACTAAGCAGTGTGATATCAACTCATTCTTATATATTGTGCAAACCTACCTAGAATGAATTTTCAATAAAATTCTAAAAAAAAAAAAAAAAAAAAGAGGAAAAATATAATCAGAATGAAAACAAGAAGACTGCAGCATAATATCTAGCTACACAAATATAATGTCCAGAAACAAAAACTTTTAGTGAAAACTACTCTCTCAATTTATTTGTTAATGAGAGCAAATATAATAGTCATACTTTTAAACTCCTATACCACTGAAAGATATACACATGATTTTAAGAAAACTTTTTTTTTTTCCCATGTGAAGGATATCTAGGTAAAGAACATCCTTTTTTTCTACTCTCATTACACAATATGACCTCTAGTATTGTATATATAACAGCATACAACACTAAGCATATCATCATTAACTACAAGAAAGCTGAGTCTTGAAAGTAAAGGTTTGCAGTTTTATTCTGATGCTATGTCTTGATCTGTCATAGTAGCAACAGAAGACAAGAAAGACAACTGCAATAAAGCTCATGGAATTATTTTGACTTTACATTGGTGAAAAAATAAATTTAACACATTAAAAATCACCCATATTCTTCATTCTTTCTACAAGGTAATAGCTTATTTTCCATAGAATAAGGAATAGAAACTGATTCTAATTATTTCCAATAGTACTTTTGACCTCCTGACTGAATATCTGGGTGAGAATTCATTGAAATTTCTCCTAAAATGGAACCCTATAATTTAGTCCCACAGTTAAGTGAGTTGCCCAGAAGCAACACAAGTACCTGGTAATTATGAGTCAATATCTTCATATGGTTTTGAACTCTCAAGATTAGGTGACATGCAGGAAACTGCAGAGACCAAATGACCTACAAAAAAGCACGTGTTTATTTACCCCTACAAACACATTGAATAGATAGGGTAAGAATGAATGCAATGGAAGGGTATCACATAATCATTATATCTAGATGGGAGTACTCTTGGCCAGACGCTAGCCATTTCTTGCCTCCATACAAAGTTCAGGTATATACTAGTTCCCCTACTTTCATCTCCTGGTTTCCAACAGAGAAAACAGGAACATACAATAGAATTTGTAGTTTCTAGACTTTCCTGCACTTCCAGAATCATCTTATTTAAATCTGAGCTTTTCTTGTCCCAGGTAATCTTCAGTAGTAGCACTGTAAAGCAGCCCCCCTGTTTGAAGCCCCCCCCGATTTAGACCGTGCAGTCAGTGTGAGCTTATAGATAGGCCAGTGTGCCTTTAAAGTTTTCTTTGATTGTTGCAGGATACCTGAACCTGGTCACTTTGTGTTATGTACTTAAGGGAATGAGGATCAGGCAAACTATATCACTGCATTATCCAGGCCATCAGTGGAACTATTCATCAAAGGCTTCTTGGTTGCTTGCAGAGAGGTTCTCTCTCTAGATGGAATAAAACCTTGGTGTCTACTGGGCCTATACATATCACAAAAGTCAAAGCAGGGATAAAGATAAATATATTCATCAGAAATAAAAACAAACTAATCTACCACAATCTTTACAGACACATATTTTAAACGCATTAAATCTTCAGGTGTATTTTTGTGATTTTTATTCTATACATAATATATTTGCCACTTATATCTGAAACTTAAAGTCTATTTTTTCTATTTTTCTGTATCATCACATGTACCATTAAAAGAGTTCACCATGCAAAGGGTTTGAAGTGTTGCAACTATGTGGGTTTTTATACATATATAAAAACATTCTAGAAATTATTGTTTCCAATGCTTTCAAATTTGGTGTTGGTATCTCCCAATCAAATGAAATAGCATACAACAAATATGTAGAAATAAAGAACACCTTCAGGTCCCTCATACTCTAAGTGAAGTAAAATGCTGTTGTTTGTAATTGTATTATGTCCTGAGCAAAAAATTACAGACTACAAACTATTTATTAACTAGAACTGCAGTAAGATTTAGTTAAAAACTGAAATCATTAATCTCTGTGAAAGTCATAGACTATTTCAAAAGGATCATTCACCTAAAAATGAAATGAGGTAGGATTAAAAAATAATGCTTAAAAAAAAAAAATTAAAAGCTTTCATATATAAGAGGAACAAGGTGCTCTGATTTATAGACCTTGGTACTAAGCACTGCTACAACATCATTCAAAATTAAGTGATAGTCTTCAAATTTCAAAAGCACCATAAAAGATATAATTGAACCACACCCTGAATAGTCTATCGAACTGAATGCTTCAACCAACTGAGGAGGATATCGTTCTCATTGGCTCATTTTTCATTTGATCTTCCTAGGGCTTTGATCTGAGAGAGTGAGAGATTAAGAATTTAAATTCTGAATGTGAAATTGATATATTATGTGATAAACCAAAGCAGTTTCGAAAAGCATAACCTGTGTTTCCATCAGTTTCAAACTCCCATCTACTAAAAGAACTGCCCCATTTAATTCATCTATTTTATAAGTCCCTTTGTAGTCATTTTCTCACCATATACTATGCTCATCACAAAATCATAAAATCCATAAAAATTACAGCTCTATAAATTTGTTAAGATACTTTCACTTTGCAATAGCATCGATATTAAGAAATGTTACCATTTTTTAAAGGCTTTCCAAGTACATTCAAAGTCTCTGGTCCTTTTCCTTTTCCATTTCCTTTTCCTTTCCTTTTTCCTTTCCTTTTTCCTTTCCTTTTTCCTTTCCTTTTTCCTTTCCTTTTTCCTTTCCTTTTTCCTTTCCTTTTTCCTTTCCTTTTTCCTTTCCTTTTTCCTTTCCTTTTTCCTTTCCTTTTTCCTTTCCTTTTTCCTTTCCTTTTTCCTTTCCTTTTTCCTTTCCTTTTTCCTTTCCTTTTTCCTTTCCTTTTTCCTTTCCTTTTTCCTTTCCTTTTTCCTTTCCTTTTTCCTTTCCTTTTTCCTTTCCTTTTTCCTTTCCTTTTTCCTTTCCTTTTTCCTTTCCTTTTTCCTTTCCTTTTTCCTTTCCTTTTTCCTTTCCTTTTTCCTTTCCTTTTTCCTTTCCTTTTTCCTTTCCTTTTTCCTTTCCTTTTTCCTTTCCTTTTTCCTTTCCTTTTTCCTTTCCTTTTTCCTTTCCTTTTTCCTTTCCTTTTTCCTTTCCTTTTTCCTTTCCTTTTTCCTTTCCTTTTTCCTTTCCTTTTTCCTTTCCTTTTTCCTTTCCTTTTTCCTTTCCTTTTTCCTTTCCTTTTTCCTTTCCTTTTTCCTTTCCTTTTTCCTTTCCTTTTTCCTTTCCTTTTTCCTTTCCTTTTTCCTTTCCTTTTTCCTTTCCTTTTTCCTTTCCTTTTTCCTTTCCTTTTTCCTTTCCTTTTTCCTTTTCCTTTCCTTTTTCCTTTCCTTTTTCCTTTCCTTTTTCCTTTCCTTTTCCTTTCCTTTCCTTTCCTTTCCTTTCCTTTCCTTTCCTTTCCTTTCCTTTCCTTTCCTTTCCTTTCCTTTCCTTTCCTTTCCTTTCCTTTCCTTTCCTTTCCTTTCCTTTCCTTTCCTTTCCTTTCCTTTCCTTTCCTTTCCTTTCCTTTCCTTTCCTTTCCTTTCCTTTCCTTTCCTTTCCTTTCCTTTCCTTTCCTTTCCTTTCCTTTCCTTTCCTTTCCTTTCCTTTCCTTTCCTTTCCTTTCCTTTCCTTTCCTTTCCTTTCCTTTCCTTTCCTTTCCTTTCCTTTCCTTTCCTTTCCTTTCCTTTCCTTTCCTTTCCTTTCCTTTCCTTTCCTTTCCTTTCCTTTCCTTTCCTTTCCTTTCCTTTCCTTTCCTTTCCTTTCCTTTCCTTTCCTTTCCTTTCCTTTCCTTTCCTTTCCTTTCCTTTCCTTTCCTTTCCTTTCCTTTCCTTTCCTTTCCTTTCCTTTCCTTTCCTTTCCTTTCCTTTCCTTTCCTTTCCTTTCCTTTCCTTTCCTTTCCTTTCCTTTCCTTTCCTTTCCTTTCCTTTCCTTTCCTTTCCTTTCCTTTCCTTTCCTTTCCTTTCCTTTCCTTTCCTTTCCTTTCCTTTCCTTTCCTTTTTCCTTTCATTTCCCTTTTCCTTTCCTTTCCTTTTTCCTTTCCTTTCCTTTCCTTTTTCCTTTCCTTTCCCTTTTCCTTTCCTTTCCTTTTTCCTTTCCTTTCCCCTTCCTTTCCCTTTTCTTTCCTTTTTTTTTTTTTTTTTTTTTTTTCCTTTCCTTTTTCTTTCCTTCCTTCCCTTTCTTTCTTCTTGTCAGTGTTCTTTTTGGCAATTGTAGCCATAAGGCAGCAGAGGAAGAAGTCTCCCTTCTCAGAGAAAATGGAAGAATTCAGAGAGAACATTGTCAGGTATGACGATGAAGGAGGTGGTGAGGAGGACACAGAAGCCTTTGATATTTCAGCACTGAGGACCCGTACTGTCATGCGAACACATAGACCTCGGAAGAAGGTCACCACAGAAATCCACAGCCTCTACAGACAGTCTCTGCAGGTTGGCCCTGACAGTGCGATCTTCAGGCAATTCATTTCAGAAAAGCTCGAAGAAGCCAATACAGATCCCAGTGCTCCTCCATATGACTCACTTCAGACCTATGCGTTTGAGGGGACTGGCTCTTTGGCAGGATCCCTCAGCTCTTTAGGTTCAAACTTGTCAGATGTTGATCAGAGCTATGAATACCTTACAGACTGGGGACCTCACTTTAAACAGCTTGCAGACATGTACACTTCCCATAGCACTGTGGAGGATTAGTTACTCTTTGGTTTCTTGTTTTATTTTCCTAAATCTCAGCAACCAAAATTAACTGGATTTTTAAAAGGAGATCATCCCACATTTAAGCACGAATAATAAAAGCCCAATGTTGTTCGTTTGGTGTTTTTTTCTGGAAAGTCCTGGATTTAGAGATCTTTTGAAAAATCACTCCAGTTGTGTCATGAGGTCAGGGGATGGAAACTCCCATTTGAAAAATCTCATGGTTGTTTAGGAGCCTGAATGCAAACTGTGTGTCTTTGGATATCTAGACCTCCTTCTGGATACTGAAAACCTGAGTTCTGCAAGTACAAAATGAGGAGTAGAAGCCATAAATTGATATTGTAAATATTCTGTCATCCATATGCTTTAAACTGTTTCCAAAGTTAAGACAGACTTTTGCTGTTGCAGTTGAATATATCCATTAACCAAAGTTAAACATGAATATTTGTATAATGCTTCATTATATAAATATACTTGTGTGAAAAAGTAGAACCTAGATATTCTAATACAATTGTCAGAAGCACTCACATAATCATCCATTTATTGTTCTTAGGATAATAAAACTAAAGAAAATGTCTTTCCCTATCAGTGTAAAAATAAAGACTTATTGCAGCATCAGAGGGTATTTGCTGCCATTTATTTTTTAATGGAAAATGTATAAACCAATACTTAATTTAGCAAATAAGGTAGAAAAAAATAAATCAGTTCAAGTTAGAATCAATATTCAAAGTAAATACTGCAATCAACAACATTATATATTACCGTACTTAGAATAAAATGCTATCCAAATACAGGCATTTTTCCTCTTATTAAGAGTTTAAAGGATGACTGATATACCAGCGCAGTTTTATTTTTTTATATTGGAATATAAAATAATCTGCAGTAGTCATTTTTATTGTAATAATATTAAGAATCTTTAAAATGCTAAACTGATGGTTATAAAACTTTATGTATAACATTAGATAATAAGATAATAAAATGCTTTAATGTTAATCCACTTCTGAAAATGATCCTGAATCATTAGGCAACACTCAAGTCAGACTTCAAAATTAATTTCCCACTGTATTTTTTCCAAACATTCCATAATGAATATAAAGCTGTCTCAGAATATTTCTTTACTCTTATTTATACCACTACCCAGAGCAATTTTGAGTCTGAGGGCCATCACATATGTTCAAAATGGCCTGTCTGGAAAAAGTAACCTGCCTGTTTTTTATTCACCTCTCTTCCATCAGGTACTTATTTTACAGAAATTACATCATGTAATCTATGGATACATTTCCACAGCTAGAAACTGGCATCAGGATAAAGAAAATTATGCAGCATTTCTTAATTTTTCCTTTTTTTTTTTTTTTAATAAGATTTTAGTTAAGTGCTACTGAATTACAGAGAGCCAGGCAAAACTTATGCAAAGGGAAAAAAAAAAAAAAAAACATAAACAAAAATACAACCAAAAAAAAACCCCACAAACCAAAAAAAAGCATGTAACATAAAAGCTCTGTGATATTTGCTAAAATTGCTGAAGAGAACCAAGGCGTGTAAGCTTAGTGGAAAGGTGCCAGTGCAGAGTTTAAATTCCTGTCAGCTAAAAATAAAACATGTGGAAGAGTTTGAAAACTAGGAGAGATTTCCAATGTGAGGTCTGGTAAGGGCAGAAACATTATTCATGATATTCATAGCTGGAAAAACACAGGAAAGAGGGTCATCTGACCAGGTGCAGATGAAGCAGCATCTGCTTCATATGGAAAACCAGGTTCTTGCCAGTCTCATGCTAGGAAGCCAGTATGCAGCTACAAAACAGCTTTAAAAGATGTATGAGGAAAAATATTGTACTAATGACTCCAACATGTGTTCAGTGGCTCTCAAACAGATGTGACAAAATGACATTTATTTGAGATAATGTGGTACATATTAGTAACTTGCTCCATGGAAAGGGATAGAGAAAGAAAGAACAACTATACATGCGCTGTTTGTTGGTGATGGTGAAAAGCACATTTTTAAGATTAGGTCTATAAACTTTTTGCAGGTTATACCCTAAACAAATCCTTATTCCACAGATTGTTCCGGTGGCATTAAGAGAATTCCTCGTGCTTTCAGGTTGTATTTAGTACAAAAAGGATAAGTGTGTCTGATCCTCTCTCAATCCAGAGATTCTATCCATTTATGTGGGGAAACAGACTTGAATGCTCAACCAAATTTGCACCTGTAATATAATTTCCTCATTTTACTGTAAGGAATTTTAACAATAAATAATTTTTGTAACCAGTGCATAGCACTCTGTAATTTTTTGTAAGCCGTGTATGCCACTGTCAGTAACTTCTATATGAAAGAGAATAATGGCCTACAATGGACCTTAAATGATCTTTAGTTTTAAAGATGTGAGACTGTTTGCACAGCAGAGGAAAGGAGTGTTTTGCTCTGAAGTAAGAAGTTATTCCTAGCTGTTAGTGGGCCACACCTTATTAGGTTCCTGGTATTCAATCTAAGTCAAACCTACCAATTTATTTCCACATGTGAGAAAAGAATCACTGAACTGACCTAGTAACTTCACGATTCTTTTAATATACTGTACTTAATTTAGCTGAACCTTCAAAAACTTTTTGAAGTGTCTGCTTATTTGAAGGGGGTAAACATTCTGAGGAAGCTGAAACTAAATATATAACAGATATTACAATAATTAATGGTATGACATTAATAAAGGATAAGTTATAAACCAGAGTTCCTGATAATGAGGTCTATTAAACTGTGGAATGGTTTTCCCGAGAATCCTCTGTCACCTTTACCTTTTAAAATTTGTTAGTAGCTAAAATTAGTTATACTATTGGCTGAAGTGAAGAATGCAGGTATGGTACCAGATGGTAAACATATATTCAGCTGTTCATGACATGCCTGACAGAATATAAGGAAGACTCATTGACTGGTCAAAGGAAGTATGATTATAAGCATTGCTTTTCTGTATGAAAAATTTGAAGAGAGGTTCCTGTATACTTCTCTTTCTGTAACATGGTAATGAGATAGGTTAAGAACTGGTGAAATATCTGACAAAAGGCTGACTTCCTGTGTCAGTCCTTGCTCATCAGGATTCAGACTGTTGTGTTATTGGTTTTATTATTTAAAAGACGAGGAAATGAAAACTATGCATATATTAATAAATGCTTAACATTCAGATGTTTGAAGTTAAAAAAAAACCCCAAAATTACTTGATAGCACATTGCAGTTTCAGACTCGTGACTGGAAAAGGGTATTTTATTTATTGGTTCACTCAAAAGAAAATGTTTTCGTTTCATTCTTATTTTCTATATCACTGTGTATGGTTTTTTAATATCATAACACTGAGAAGCAATCCTGCTTGCCATGGAAGATAATCTTAGTCTTTAATTCACATAGTTTTCCTCCCGCATTTTCTCACAGATACTGTCATTACACTCCTAGCTTTGGTTTCAAAATTTGCATTGGACATGGGGTTGTTTTAACACTCATTCTTAACTGTATGGGGTAACCCTGTCAGATGGGAATAAAATATTTTTGAAAAGACAGTGTGCGTTTTATGCTTCAAAGTCAGATCTAATATATACTGTCCGAGGAGTAGAAGTTGAAGGAGATTATGTGATTTTACATTCTGGCAAAGAATACATTTTACCCCTTAGCAGGAATATGAACAAATAGAATAGAAGTTATATGAAAACAATGAGTAGCTATAAGTAAAGTCGGTAAGATTTCTCTACCAGAAAAATGATAAACCTATATTTTATAAAGAAAAATATAGTGGATTAATAGTTACTTTAAAAGTTGACACATATTACAACAGTAATTTGGATGCTGTCATATTTATTCAGAAAAAAAGCCTTCATATATGGGTCTGTATCAGCTCTATGTCTCAAACACAGAGTCCAAGGAACAGTAAGATTTATTTATAGTGCACAGAAGTATAAAACATATATACAGAGACAATGTTTAGATCAGTATGAAACACCTTACCCACAGCAAACATATAACAGCATTAGTCAGAAATATGTATAAGACTCAAGAGGATATTTGCCAGAAAAGGAAGTTAGAAGGCAATATGGTACTAAGAGCAAATATTAATAAATAAAATTAGAAACCATCACTACTTCACAAAACTCTCCAATAGCAGAAACAAAAGCAGGATATCAGTGGCTCTTAATTCCCCAAACATTTTAATTATGTTTTAGGTAATGCTTTAATAATATTAAAGATTATAATTTAAACAATACTCCACATGTGGAAGTTCAAATAGGATTGATTTGTAGAGAAACAATAACATCTGTATACATATAGATGACCAAAAGGATACAACAGATGTTATTGGATTAAAGCTTAAAAGGATGCAAACCTACCCTCAGATATATGATACATCCCTTTTGAGTAAATTACTCTCTGTTATCACAAATTACTCTGAAAAGAGACTTTACAAGGGGCATCTTGAACAACTATTTTAGTAGCTTAGGACCTAGAACAAGAATGCTTAATATACTGATTCTGTATGTTGGATTTACAAATGTCAAAAATATCCCCCATTATTAATAGTGAGGATACATGAGATAAAAGGAAGAACTGGATGGCCTTCAAGACTGGAGAGTAGAAAATGCATAAAATATAATGACAAAAATAAAGATCAACCACTCCGGAAATAGTTCTTTAAGAAAATCTGCTATTATACTGGGCAGTTATCCAGCAGAGTAATTAAACAGGACAGGGATATTCTAGCTGCAAAAATAACTATGAACTGCCAACAAGATTCAGACCAGAAAAAAAAAAATCAAATATGAACAAAAGCTATACTAGGCAATACAATAGACAAATACAAAGATAATATTGACCATGAAAGTAGATTGAGATTAGATTACCTAACTGTTTAATTACTTGACAACTCATTCTCTATTGTCAGACTCTGACCAGCCACACTAATACTGTTTCTGAAAGTCACACATTCATTTAAAGTGTAATCCAAAGGTAGTTCCAATATTAATATTTATTAAAGATTTTTCATAGGACAAAATATTGATACTAATTTATTATTTATTCCATATGCACAAGCCCTTTGGCTAGGCAAGACAAGGTGTCCAACAGATGTAAAATAGGTGATAAAATAAGTTATCCTTAAACATGTCTTTTTATAATTTCAACAGCCTAATTCAATATGAACAGATTTCATTATATATTCAGTAAACCTCATTTCATTTATTGCAAATGCCCATTTACTTACATCACTTACAAATTCAAAATATCGTTACAATAACTTTACAAACATTTTATGATGATTCTTAAAGATTACAGTGATTTTAGTAATACTTTATCCAGTTTCTTGTCAAAGTAGCTTATTCTCACAAAAATCTTACCCTGCTTTTGCTATCACTGAATGTAAAAGCATCCCAGTTAGTGTCTAAAAGCATTTGTATCTACTGCAGTTCATCTCACCCAACCTTAACCACCCAAAAATTGGTGTAAGTTATTCTACTTCCTTCCCATCCTGTGTTGCCACTGCCTAGGATGTCCCAGAACTTCAGGGCAGGCTGGACATTCTCCAGGGCTGCAAAATGAGAGAAGTACCCTTCCTTATGGGAGTGACTTAGACATTTTAGACCTTCTACAGCAAAGAATTCCTGCTAATACACCTCCTTCATGTCACTGAGGACTCTAACCCACTGATGAATCACCCCAAAAACTTCATCTACTTCCCCCAACCTGATAGGGGTATAAGGAACTTGCTTTGTCTTCTTACATTCATGTACATTTGGGTTTATTTTTAAAAACCTAATAAATATTTTTCTTTGATAATAGTTCCTATCAGTCTAGAATGACTATTATTGCTTTATAGTATTCTACTAACAGCTAAAGGTTTCCAAGTCAGCTCCTTGTGGAGATAGCTATTTTGCAATCCCAAATTTCAGGAAATGCAGGGAAAGATACATGAAATCAAGGACAAGGGAGGTCAAATGATTCACATAGCTGGTCAGCTCCTGAGCTGGAAACAAGTTGTAGATCCCAAAATATTCAGTCCACTGCACAGCTCCTGTGACTACAGTTATTTTTTTTCAGCTGTGCTTGTGTTTTCTTGGTGAATAATAAAGTAATTTAAAATAAAAACACTGTGTTCACTTGATTTGGTCTATTCTGGTTTTGTAGGCCAGTTTGAACAATGTTTTGCATGTGATCGTTGTCAAATTAGGTGAAAGTAATGCAGCTGCTAGTTTCTTGTTTATGATGCTTTTCTAGACCATAAGTGCATGATTGCCTTTAAAAAAAAAAAAAAAAAAAATGTATAAGGCAAGTTGAGCGTACAAGCTCAGGGAAACACTTCATCTTGTCCTCTCCCTGATATATAACTTATATAGATCCACTTTCATCCTGTTGTGCTTTAAAGGAAACAAGAAGCTTTAGCAAATGTAGGTTTGTCTCCATATTCCTTTTTTAATAGGATCTTTGTAAATAACAGTCTATGACTAAGTGTCCTAGGTTTCAGTGAGTGACAGGGGTTTTTTTTGTAGCAGGAGAGGGGGCTACAGTGGTGGCTGCCTGTGAGAAGCTTCTTGAAGCTCCTACAGTTCCAAGTCAGACCCATCTCTGGCCAAGGCCGAGCCAATTAGTGACAGTGGCTGCACCTCTACGATAATGTATTTAAGAAGGGGAACCTGAGAGGAGGAGCCGGAGTTGTGAGGAGGAGTAATGAGGAGGACATATGTGTGAACACTGATGTCAGTGGAAGAAAGGAAGAGAAAGGGGGAGGAGGTGCACTGGCGCAGAGCCTCCCTGCAGCCCTTGGTGTAACGACAGGACTGACCCAGCCCCACTACCCATGGAGGTCTACAGTGGAGCAGATGTTGAACTGCAGCCTGTGGAGGAGTAGGTGACTACACCTAAAGGAGGCCAGGATCCTCTGGGAAGAAAAAGTCCCCCCTATTGTCATTAGGTACTGGGAAGATTGCAACATGTGGGGTGTTCCACATTGGAGCAGCTCGGGAAATATTGTGGCCCATGGGAGGGACTCATGTCAGAGAAAGTTTGTGGAAAATTCTCTCCTGTGAGAGGGGGACCATGCTGGAGGAGGGGGATAATGTCAGAGGTTCTCCATCCCCAAGGAGGAAGAAGTGGCCAGATTGCCTGTACCGTCACTACTGTGGGGAGGTGGTAGAGATATCAGGAGCAAATCTGAGCCCAGCAAGAAGGGAGGGGTGGGAAAATGTGTTTTCAAGATGTGGCAATGCTTCTCACTGTCCTACTCTGGCTGTTATGTGTTGTTGTTGTTGTTAGTCTCTATATTAAATTTATGTTCTTTTTTCTTCCCCTAATGAGTTTGTCTTTTGCTCATGACTGTAATGGGTGAATCTTCCCTCTCTGTCCTTATCTCAATTATGGAGCCTTTTGATTTGTTTTCTCCTTCCCAGCACTGGGTGGGAAGGGGGACTGAGCAGCTACATGGTGCTTGGTTGCTCTCTGAGCTCAAAGCACAACACTGAGATTCACAGTTGATTGTGGAGAAGCAAAATGAAATGAGATAAAAGAGAACCGAAATATTTAAGCAAATTGCCATTGACTTGTTACCAATTAGTTGCAGCTAAATTGCGGAGTAGGTTACCTCAATACTCACCAATTTGTTAGACAGAATATCTTGTTATAGAGAAACAGTTACATTCAAAGGCAAGAATTTACTGTTGGTCTGCTAAAGTTATTATTAGTCCAGCTGTTAAAATGCATAGTTCAAATTATGTACAGTTTAAGTGGTATATAATCAAACTTCTTCCTCTCTACTCCTTTTTTTCTGGTTTTATACTGATGCTCCTAAGGCTTCATTCAGGAGCAGGAGGAATGATACCACAAGTCATCAGTATCACTAGTTCTTTGTCAGGAAGAATGCAACACTGATGTAGATCATGTCTTACTCCTTGCTCCAACATTTGCTCGGAGGCATTTTTATATGTTTGATAACATTCTTTACACCTTAATGTTTCTTTGCTGGTGTACAAGTCTGAATATCCTTCGTATGGTTTGTTTTACATAGGCTGAATACTTCTCTGTTCTAAAGCTCCTTTTACCCAGCTTCCAAAATTGCATCCCTTTGGTGATCAGAAGTTAAGCACTGGTAAACTGTACCCTGTAGCATCCTGCGCCAATGGCAGCATCCTGGGCCAATACTTCCCAGGCCTTTTCTCATTCTGTGTTTTTATTCTAGGATGCATTCTATTTTAAGTTCATAAGTTCATTCAACATCAAATAACTCTTTCAAATAATTAAATACAAAAATACATAAATATATATGTATATATAGTTGCACCACACAGTTATACAAAGCTAAGCAAAGCTAAAACAAATTAGCTAATAGTCACCTGATGGTAATTTCTTTTATGGTTAAACAAGCCAAAACATATCTGCAGTCAGGCCAAGATAAGTCCAGAGAGTAGCTGGTGGATCCTGAGGCCTGTGTTATACTGACACTAAGCCTCTTACAAAGAGTGGCATCTCCATACTTACTACCTACAAGTCTACAATCCCTGGAAGATTTTCAAAGGGAAATAAC